AACAGATGAAAATGATATCTGGAGGAAAATTAAAAAGACACCCAAAAAAACCGAACCGTTCAATACAGGGAAAACTTTTTGCGATTTGGAAACTAAACAATGAAGAAGCAATCAGCACAAGCCAACTATTAAAGAAAAATTGGTCTAATTTACGGTCCCAGCGAATAGGTCACTAGACATATCACGGGCATATCAAAAACTAAAAAAAAAAAATATGAATATTCTACTTACCTGTACCATATGTCACGGGCATATTAAAAATAAAAAATTATTTTATAAATTGTTGATGTAATAAATATGAATATTTGCTCTTATGTAAGGAAGGAGGACATTTTTAAATTATGTATAGATTCACCTATAAATTATTCGCTTCTTTGTATTGTTTTTTTAAATAAATAATATTTATTTAATTTAAAATCGGTATTTTATTTCTTAAGTGAATAATTGGATTGAGAAGCGATCCTTTGGGTTGGCCCGAGAGGCAACATAAATATTAGTCCGAGTGGTCTTCCAACATAAATTAATTGGTCCAAGAGGCAACATAAATATTGGTCCGAGTGGTCTTCCAACATAAATTAATTGGTCCGAGAGGCAACATAAATATTGGTCCGAGAGGCAACATAAATATTGGTCCGAGTGGTCTTCCAACATAAATTAATTGGTCCGAGAGGCAACATAAATATTGGTCCGAGTGGTCTTCCAACATAAATTAATTGGTCCGAGAGGCAACATAAATATTGGTCGGAGTGTTCTTCCAACATAAATATTGGTCCGAGTGGTCTTCCAACATAAATTGATTGGTCCGAGTAGTCTTTTGGGTTGGTCCGAGTGGTCTTTTAGGTTGGTCCGAGTGGTCTCCGTTTTGGTCCGAGTGGTCTTTTAGGTTGGTCCGACTGGTCTTGGTCCGAGTGGTCTTTGGTCCGACTGGTCCGGGTACCTGTGCATGCTTTATACATGGATGGTCGGAAAATAATGTTGTATATCCTATGTATTGATCATTATTTTCACCTTAAACAATCATGACAACAATATATTCAAATCCTAGCTGGCTTAGAATTCTATCCATAGTAAATTAATAAAAAGTAAAGGAAACAAAGACTGGTTACCTGTAAACCAAAATTTGAAGTGGTATAAGGTGTTCTAGAAAGATTAAGTATTCTCTATTCTCTCTGATCATTTATAAGATGTTTGCAGGGATAAAGAGGTCCTAAACAGTTAGGAGATTTTGGTGCCCCCATATAGTATACAATTCAAAATATAAACAATAATAAACCATAAACAATTTGTCAAGCACCTGCTAAGACTAGGTTTATACCTGTCATTATATATTGAGACAAAAAAGTACTGAATTAATTTTAGATTAAATGTTTTGAATTCATCATCTAACAAAGAAGAAATAAGCACTGTAGAGTCCAGGGCCCAGGTAATATGTATGTTCAGTATTGGTTGTTATTGGGAATCATTGGTATAAATTATGGGAACAGTGGGCGTTATATGTATATTCACTGTGAGCTACAGCAGAATAAATTAACTAATAAACAGACTGGTGTATATTTATCACATTAAACATTGAGTATTACAATTAACTTGTGTTATATATTAACTGATATTATTGGGCTGTAGATATTGCACAGTATAGTAAAATATTGAATATTTCAAAGAAAGGTTTCTGGTGGTGAAATTGTACTTGACCATTGTGTCCTAAAGGAGGCCTTAGCACTAACATGTAGGAGGTCTGACTGGTTGTTGAAAATCAAGAAAAGATTTTACTATCCAGTTACACAGTGTTTGTTCAAATTAGATTCAATATATTGTAAAAATTGAGGCAAATTTGACATGCCACAGCTATGATACATTTTAACTTAAAATTTACGATTCATTTACCTTTTTAAGTGGACTTCAAGGAGTTTAAAAATGCTGGCAGAAAGTGATGTGCACTAAGTTGGACAATGCTTGGATTGTTGATAGGCCTAATTAGGAGAGTCTTTAATATTTTTTTGAAATATATTCAAAATTGATAACATTTGTTTTCTTTGTGAATGATGATACCTCTTTAAGGATATTAAACTTTCAACCTTATTATGTCAACTGAGATAAACTTTTTCAATGGCTCAATCAGGTTAGTTAGTAGCTTATCTATTTGTGGACTGCTGTTTCTAAATGTCAGTAATAAGTCTAGCGCTGTGCTGTTGGTGTACGTGAGATTGACAAATAGGACTACACATTCTAAAAACATTGTCATAATAACAGTCATTTACTAGTGTGTCAGGCATATGGCAGGGTATGACAACCCTTCCATGAACATCTGGTACCACTTGACTTTCCATAATTCGAATTTTCTTATGTGGCTAGTCCAATCCCACTTGATTTTACTCAATGCATCCATTTGACTTTGTATTTTGATTACAGGCAAGGATCAATTTAACGGTTGATTTTTGTAAAAGTAATTAGAGATAGGTCAAAATTAGATATGAAACTTAATAAAAGGTACCGTATCAGAGATTTATTGATTTCTAACAGAACTAAGAAGATCAGTAATTGTGTTGAAGTTCACGTAGTTTAATATTTCATTCTGAGATTCTGTTTTTCACAACATGTTAATATTATAGATACAACACGGCAGAAGGCCAAGAAGCATTTTGCTTACCAGTACTTAAATTCAGCCAAAATAAGAGTTTAGTTATTTAGGCAATCGAAACTAAAATCATTGTTTACATATCGTCTTTACTTTGATGTTCGTGGATTGAAATGAGTTATCATCCAGAAGTTGACAATTAAAAGAAATTAAAGATGGTTCAATAAAATCAATAGATGGGAACTTTGGATTGTCAAAAATTATATCAGGATTTATGGATTTGAAAGTTACCCATGCAATTGCGCATTTTCGAAGCAATTTCAAATTTTTTGGTCATTGATGTTCATGAAAATATAATTAGATTTTACCCACAAGGGGCAACTTATAGGTGGTGCTGAGTTGTTTATTATTGTCTGGACTAAAAAAAACCAACGCACAGGCAAATTTAATGAAAACAGAATTGTACCATATTATGTTAGTCCCAAACTCACCTAGTTGGTGTTGTATCAATGTTAAACTCTCTCTCTCTCTCTCTCTCTCTCTCTCTCTCTCTCTCTCAGTTTTAGAGATTCAACTTTGAAAATGTCAGTTTATTCAAAGTCCTTTAAATGACATTCAGCAACTTTGGTCCATCCGTCGTTCCGGCGTCCACAATTGCTTGTGGACGCTCTAGAGGCTAAAGTTAATATCTGATTTTATACACAGTGTTTAAGGTCATGAGACGAAGAAGCCTATTAATTTTCAGCGATTTCCAATAATTACTGCCCGAGTTATGGCCCTTTTTCACTTCAAAAAATCTTGTGGACGCTCTAGAGGTCACAGTTAATATCCGATTGACTTCAAATTTATACACGGTGTTTACGGTCATGAGACGAAGAAGCCTATTGATTTTCAGCGATTTCCGATAATTACTGCCAGAGTTATGGCCCTTGATCACTTTGAAAAATCTTGTGGACGCTCTAGAGGCTAAAGTTAATATCCGATTGACTTTAAATTTATACACAGTGTTTAAGGTCATGAGACAAAGAAGCCTATTGATTTTCAGCGATTTCCGATAATTACTGCCAGAGTTATGGCCCTTGATTTGAAAAATCTTGTGGAAGCTCTAGAGGCTAAAGTTAATATCCGATTGACTTTAAATTTATGCACAGTGTTTAAGGTCATGAGACAAAGAAGCCTATTTATTTTCAGCGATTTCCGATAATTACTGCCAGAGTTATGACCCTTGATCACTTTGAAAAATCTTGTGAACGCTCTAGAGGCTAAAGTTAATATCCGATTGACTTTAAATTTATACACAGTGTTTAAGGTCATGAGACGAAGAAGCCTATTGATTTTCAGCGATTTCCTATAATTACTGCCAGAGTTATGACCCTTGATCACTTTGTGACACTCTAAAGGCTAAAGTTATCATCCGATTGACTTCAGATTGATACACAGAGTTTAAGATCTTGAGACGAACAAGTATATTGATTTTCAATGGATTTTTATGTCTTGAACAGCTAAATCCATGATATTAAAAGTTTTGTATACAAAACGTTAGCATGGGGCAGAACTTTATACAAACAAACAAATTCTAATGGTTTTCTGATAATTACTTCATGGGTTGTTGCTCTTAATCAGATTTTAGTGTATTATAAATGTTTCATTACCGAAAAAATATGCAACAACTCTTGTTGACTGCCCGGACGATATAGCTGTTGTGTTGCCTGGCAACCTATCTTTATATATGTATGAAATATTGGTCTGTTAAAGTAAAAATGACAGCCCTCAGAATAACTAGATATTGTTAGCATACATGTGTCATTCCACGAATACCATTAATGTGGAAATCATGTTGGTGCTGTCTGCTATTAGGAACACAGACCCTTGAATAAAGGTTATCTTTTCTTGTAAATTGCATGAACATGGTGATATTGTTCTTGGTTTCTAGCTCAGAATCACTGAAGGTTATAACATGGTAATATTATTTTTGGTTTCTAGTTGACTCTTAACAGAATCACTGAAGGTTATATCAGTGAACTCGCAGGACCTTGAATTTTAAATTTCTTCAAATACATTTTATTATGCAGTAAAAATAAAATGTCAAAAAGTCACATACTTATACCAAATTCAGTTATTGACAATATTTAAAAAACCGACTGGTGAGACTGAAAACACTGTAATAGAAAATATCAATATTTGACACAGATCTTGATATATACATTAATTTAAGATGAAGCTGTTCATACCACCTACTTATTACTCAACATTGTATACAGACTGTTAATCTCACTGACATTTTTAATGAAATTGAGTAACTCTGCTAGCTACAGCCAGTGTATAATATTAGTGGTATAGATTCATTATTAATGAAGATAAAATGACAAAGGTGGTTCTGTATGACTTAATTTACACTAGATAATAATTTAGAACAGTGGGCTAAACCCGCTGTCCAAAGTCTGTTACATTGTGTTCCTTAACGTAGGTTCGAGGTTAGGGGTCATTGGTGAATTTTGACCTATTACTTGATCACATGGATGTCCCGATTTGCTTCTAGGAGAATCCATTTCTTATCCACGACTAGTTCATTTAGTTGATCTGTTAAATATCAATTTGTGTTGACTGTTAATCATATAAATTATCTAGTTCACATAAACCAACTGTTAAAATCTTGTAAGTTTACACAGACATCATTTGTAACAAGAATGTACTGGTTAGCCATTATAGATGATGGATTTTATTTAACATTACTCATTCACAGGAAGAAACATATGGTCTTGTATTGACAGACCCACTCGATTAAAATTTCTTTTTTTCTCCATTTTCAGACAGAGTTGGTGGATTGTGACGATAAAATGGTTGAATCAACCGGATAAAAGTAACAATTGTCGATAATACTTAAAGAAAAATGGCTGAGTTACTGTCTGTTCATGTTCATTTACCATCGCATCTGAGCAAAGCTCAGAATGACGGACCAAAGAAAGTTATGTTTAGTGATTCGGAAAGTGATATAGAAGCACACAATGATATAAGTGTGGTCAGTAAAGAAACAAAAGGTTCATTTTCTCATCTACCTTATCGTAGACCTGTGGATATACAGTTCAAGGAACTAGCGTATATAGTCAAGGATTCCCACTCAAAAGGTATAAGTAAAATCTTTTTGTTTTTTTAGTTCGTGGACATGATTTACTAAATTGAGAAACATTTCCTGAATAGCGTGTTTGTATAATAACATATAAAAACTACTTCATGTAACAAAACATGACTAATGAAAAGCTAATTTTAGCCTAATTCATTAGTGATGAAATAAGAAATGACGTACCATTTTTGGGGTAAATATCAAAAACAATCTGATGAATTTATATATCAATTATTTTAAAAGAATATTCATTTATGAATTTATGGTTTAATTCTTTTACAAATAAATACTACAGGTATATTAAAAATGATTTTGAATTGTATATTGTATATTTATTGTATATTTATTGTATTATGTAATACACCACATTGATTGTGTACTTTAATGATCAATAAATATTTGTATAAATACTTATAGACATAGATAAACTTTAATATATACATATAGGGTTACAACAATTCATGAAACAATCATATCTTTAGAGTGGTACAAGATTGCAATTTTAAATGTTCAGTTGACATACAGATGACATACATGATTGGTATTAAATATTATTAAAAGATGCATTATGTAAGAACTCAATCTGTCTATTGCATGTTTTTTTCTAGCTTTAAATTATTATTTAGACATTTATTTGCACGACAAGCCCATAATCAACTCTCTAGACTATCGGGTGACTTAAGTATTGAGTGGATTAGACAATATCTACCGATAGGACTGAAAATTAAGACATGTTTTATTATTGTGGCTATGGTACTTTACAATTGAGAATATAAACTGTTAATTGGCTTTTGGTGGAGACAATTTAAGATATCTTGTCAAAACTTCAAACATTCATAACTTCACACCAAATAAATTTATTTGACTGAAATTTCAGTATATTCATTTTTCTTTATCTATATTTGAACTATTATAGCAAGAACAACCAGCTCTTTGTCTAAATCTTCCATACTGCTTCTTTTATGATGGTTTTTATTGAAAAGTAACGAAACTTTGCATTTATTCTTAATGATGATTACTGGGCTATTGTTTGAAAAAATTTCTGATACATTGTTTTATATTTAAAGAAACTCTATATTTATTTTGACAAATACTAGAAAAAAACCAAAAAAACTGTGTATACTTTTGCCTTTTTGTCAGATTGATCTGTTTTAAGACACAGTAGAGAAAAACATACTTTTCCTGTTGTTCAAATAATATCGTACAATCTAGGTCAGGTTATTTGCGTTCAAATTGGCCGAAGGCTATAACTTTAACCTCTGTACGTACATGTCAGGATAATAATTAATAAGTAATGACCTTTGATCCCCACTAGTTTAACACGTCTACTCAATATGTAAAGATTGGCAAAATTCCACCATCTCATAGGCCAACATGACAATCCTTGTTGATTTGGAGTCTATATTTTTAATTTATTACATTTCATTAAAATCCTGAAGTTTTCTTATTTCTTTGGGAGATAAACTTTTCTTCTTCCAATACATTAAGTTGTGAGAAAAGGGCAATGAAATATTAAGTTAGAACGATACAGAAGAGTGATATGCACTACATGTAAATATTAATGTACATGTACAATGTTGAAGCGACAATGAGCTAGTGCAAGCCAGAATAATTTGCATGACCCAAAAACCCCATCTAAAAAGATTGCACGGAGGTATATATTTTGTTAGAGCTCCTCCTCGAGACTTAATATTAAAACTATCCCAGCATATTTGACCCTCCAAAATATCAATATTTTTTTTACCTGTAGTGGGGTTTGGGAGCAAAGGACAAAAAGGTGTGAAGACAATAAACCCCCACCTTCTATGTATATTCAGTTATCTGACACTCCTATTTGTTACCAACAAATTAATATACATTACAGAAATATATTTTGTCACTGATTAGACTAAACTTGTACTTGGATCCACCAATACACATCTATATAGATTAGTAAATCATTTCATAAAAAAACATTGTAGGGAAAGTTGTTGTAGAAATTAAAAAATTTAAATTACCGGTATACATATTGTTATACTACTTTACAAGATGTCCACAAGGGGGCAAGTTATTGTGTGAAAGAATAGAAATTATATTATTCCCTTTAAACATAGTACTTTACAAGATATCCACAAGGGGGCTATTTATATTGTGTGATAAAATGGAAAATTTGAATGTCATGTTATAATTTCAGAGACCAAAACCATATTAAAGCACATCTCTGGGAATTTTAAGCCAGGACATCTAACAGCTATAATGGGCCCTTCAGGAGCTGGTAAATCTTCATTAATGAACATACTAGCTGGCTACAGGCAAGTTTATACTTGTATTTATTATTCATGCATGGTCTTGTGTAAAGCTGCTTCTAATGGTCAAATATTTCTTAATATTTATACACCTTTTATGCTATTTACTTCTTGAGATACAGTAAAACAAATAAATTAATGCAAGCACCTGTAAGGTTTACATGGGATCTAGTCGTTAAGATGAGAGGAAAGGTTGTAAGAAATCCCTTGACATTTTGAATTTGAGGAATCTATGCAGAAAAATAACTGTCCAGACAAAATCCTCCCCACTTTGTATTTGTAAGAGATCAACCATAGAAGTAATAACCAAACAAAAATAGTCTCAAAATGATCCTAAAATTGTGCTGCAGTTGACTCAACTATAGGTCCTTGCATCGAACCTCATGTTGATTGAGATAGTTCCTTGGGATTTTCCGACTCAGGTTTCCCCTTGTCAGTGGTTCTGGATTAAGTGTTTAGTCATCTGGATGGAACAAAAAATGAAGATCCCATGTAGAAAAGAATAACATTCAACCCCATTTCATTTGATAAATAAAATTACTTGACCTCCAATCCATATTCAGTAAATAGCTATATCTAAATAAACATATTGGTTATAAAAAAATAGAGCAATAAAATTAAATGATGGATTAATTATACTCCCAATCATTGTCATGATAACACTGATCTAATTATTGATTGTACAAAAAACTGTTTCACCGACAATTGTCATTTTATAAAAAAAAAAATGTATGATATGACTGACAGGTCACCTAGATTTTACTAAGTATCTAGAATTCAAATTTCTTGTTTAGTTGTATCAAATTCAAATGATATATTTCATATATTGCAATCTTTGATGTCAATATCTTGTTATATGCTATGTTAACAACACTCTGTTTTTGTTCTAAGAAAAGCTCAGGCATGTAGATGCAGAGCGGTCCTGAACTGAAAATAAATATGATAGTAGGACTGAGCAGAGTTTGGATAAAAATAGATAAAAGAATAATGAGAAACGGTTAATACACAAATTTACCGCTATAGAAGAGGATCTTAAATCTTTATAAAGTCTATCTATAGAAGAGGATGTTAAATTTTTATAAAGTCTGGAAATATGCTATATGCTGTGTGTTGAAATTTGAACAATGTCAAGTTGATCTCGTGCGATACTACTTGTGACGTATTAAAAGAACTTTATATACCTACTTTAAAGAGGTATTATCACTTTTAACAAGAAGATGAATGCTGTCATATACAGAATGGCAGGGTTGGGCCACCGAATGGTTTAGATTATAATGTCTGTTATAGAGTAAAGTGGCTTGGTTTCGATTCCCCACTTGCATGTGACAAGGTGTAGGGTCACCTGTCCAACCTTGTGGGTTTTCTCCAGGTCCTCTGGTTTCCTCTGGATTCCTCCCATTGCTAAATACTCCTATGTTAAGCAAAGTATTGAAGTAAAATTAAACCAAATGTTAGTCCCGAACTAACCTAGCTTTTGTCAAGTAGACGTTAAATCCTAGTTAACTTTCTCTTCCTATACAGAATATTCTTAGACTCACCATATAATGGAAACCTCAAGTTCTTACCTCCTTAGACCAACGTATTTTTGACAAGGGTTCATTATACATTGAAAACCACTATAAAAATTTCACAACACTAAAAAAGAAATGTAAAACATCCATATCACAATGATGGTCTGACAATGTGTACAGTCCAATTCGAACATCTTTGATGTACATGTACTGGTAACTGTATAATCAAATCAAAAATTATTACCAACTGGCGAAGATCTCAAGAGAACCAAGGCATCTTTAACATGATAGTGTATTTATGGATCCTATTACAATATTAGGAAAAATTAATCTTGTTGTTCTCAAATTGTGACAATTTTGTTTTTCATTACAGAACAAAGAATATATCTGGAGAGATATTAGTCCGTGGAAGGGAAAGAGATCTCCGTAGTTTCCGGAAGATGTCTTGTTACATCATGCAGGATGATCATCTTCTACCTCATCTTTCTATAGAAGAATCAATGATGTGTTCAGCTAATTTAAAATTAGATGAAAAATTAACAACAGCAGAAAAGGCTGGAATGGTATGTTAATGCTTTATTTAATTTATTTTTAGGGAAAAAGAGACAGGGAAAACAGTTCAGTGACCACGTTTATACAAGGGCCAAAACAGCTTTCACCATATAGTTAATTCTTAAAAAGGAAAATGATTGATTGAACTTGGCACCACTTATATTTTTGTCATTTAGAAAATAATTTCAGATATCTGTAGGCTAGTTGTGGTATGAATAGTCAGCAAACTTGAGGTGTTATATACGATTAGAATAAGTGACGTTTTTGATTACTTTTACATGCCATTGGCCAACATCAAGTAGATTAAAATGTCCTACAAATAAGAAACCACAAATTTTTTTCAGGATTAAGATTTAAAAAAAAGAAAACCACGTAGATTAAGTAGTCAGTCAAGTTAGTTGTAGAACACTGTACTTGGTTAGTTGTAGAACACTGTACTTGGTTAGTTGTAGAACACTGTACTTGGTTAGTTGTAGAACACTGTACTTGGTTAGTTAATCCAACATATTATTAAACATGTGACATATCTGCAATCAAACTTTTGCCAATCTAAGCTGACAGCGACGTTTTTGACGAATATTATGGATTTTATTTTGTTTTTGGGGGGGGGGGGGGGAGGTGCATTAAAAATTATATGAATCATAAAAAGGATCGATTGAATTTTCTGTTTACTTTTGAAATGATGCAATGATGCACAACAAATTATAGACAGAACACATTTTTGTACATACACTCCCCACTTAGATCGGGGGGTTGGATGGCCAAATGGTTAGTGCGTGTGTGCTGTATCATAAGGTCTGTCATTGAGTCAACTGGCGTGGTTTCGATTCCCTGGTTGTATGTGACAAGGAATAGGGTTGCCTATCCAACCTTGTGGGTTTTCTCTGGGTCCTCCGGTTTCCTCCCACTGCTAAAGACCCCTACGCGCAAGCAAATTATTGAAATAAAATTAAACCATGTGTTAGTCTCTCTCTTGAACTATAAAATTTGATTTTGGTCAGTTTCTAGTGCAATATTCTTTCTCGGGTAAAATACTGTTCTATCTGAGTCCTTCATTTTCTTATCAAAGATAGTGAAATCCAAAGTGGAAAGATAGTCTATTTAGTCTAGTATGAAGAATTTATCTATGTTTGATAACAATTTAAAGGAGCTAAATCACTATTCTTTGGCATCTAGAAATGGACACAAATAGGTCGCAACGTATATAATAATGTAATATGAATGAATATAAACTGATTTACATTCAATCGTTTCTGTTTTTACTGTAATTTCTAATCAGTTATATGCGAAAGGTTCAAATTAAATGGCAGCCTTTGGCGTCTGGTTATTCCAGTCTACTCTGGTAGTCTTCCCTTGTGGGATATGCTAAGCCTTGTTCACTGAATAACTCTACACATGGCTCCCGAAAGCATTCTGGTACGCGATTCGTGTGCCATGTTTAATATTTTGATAGTGTCTTAAATATTGGATACCAGATAACAACAGCAATGTTGATTTAAATTGACCAATAAGTCGTGTTTGCAATATCAAAGACTGTGGATGATACAGAGTTAAAGACTTGGCTACTTTAGTTTTAAATGTTTAGTTCAAACTTACAGAATAGTTATTTGTGGGGGAGAACATGTGTATTGCGGGGATGGTTACTTGTTCTCAAGCCATCTTACTATGACATATTTAAGTGGTTTATTAAAGATAATTGCTTGCACCGAATTACCTCAAATTATGTATAATTTTAGTAAGTCCCCACAATTATATCAGCTAAGCTATTCAGTTCATTTATTTTAACAAAATACCAGTTTAAGTTTTTACGCTGCCAAAAAAATGTATTATGGTTAGATATGATATGCAGTTTTTTATGTTAGACAATTCACCATTGAAGTGATCAATTGAGTTTAGACAGAAAGAAAGAGTTTAAATTAGTTTAATATTTTAGAAAAAATAGAACTTTATTCAAAGAATCTTGAGGATTTATTATGCATGTAAATTGGAGATTGAGTACATAGTAATGTTGCTGTTTGGGCCTAATTTTCCTCATAGTAGACTGCATGTTGTATACCCTTTTTATTAGCTCGGTTGGTGTTTAGTTGTGTCAGTAGTGAAACAAGCTCTATCTGTACTAAACATGTTTCACCTCCTACAGTAGGAGTAGGTTAATGTCAAATATATCCACTAAAGAACAAATACCAACCAAGTACATAAAGTCTAGTAATTATACTGTATGTTCTACTAGGATATTTACCTTTACATGTTATGTAGATATATGATGTTGTACTTGGCACAACCTCCAAATTTAGTATGGTATATTTGTACAACATATGTCAAATAATACATATACTTCGGTATTTGCCTCCTGCATGAATACATCAGAATGGAAAAGTAATAAAACTGATTGATAGATTAATTTCTGATAAATTAAATTTATTCACAAGGACTTGAGGAGGTACTTGTACATTAATGTTAAAGTTGGTTTTTAGACCTCAACTTTTCAATCAATTACTGTTTAAAGAAAGTTTCCCTCTTAACTTTTTGAATTGAATACTGTTCACCTTTAAGTTGAAATTTTGCCAGAAGAAGGTTACTTAATCTTAAGATATGTCTTGACATTATATGCTGCCAAGTCCTGTCCGTGTACACATTAGCGTACATATAAACAAATCCTTGACCATCAGAATTCAATTTTAGAGTAGGCCGTAGTGCAGCTATCTAGGCAAAATCTTTCTCCTAGCACACTGCATGGCATATACTCGTCTTCATTAGCCCAGTCGGTGCAGAAAAGTAGGACATTATACCGCATTTCATAAAAGATACTGGTCCAGTTTTCCTATCTAATCTAGATAATGGGAGGATGAATTTATTCCATTGTGTAGTCAAACTCTTATCATCATTTCATTAAGTCCATTATAGATTATTGTTTTGGTGAGATTTGTGAGGACTATACATGAAGGTGTAGATTAAAAACATACAATTGCTGCCAAATATGTTGAACTGATCATTGATTCCAAAATACTTAATTATGTAATATTGTGTTAATTTTCGCTCTTAATACTCACACAAGTGTAATGTTAGACTTTGAAGCATGATTGTTATAAATATTAATATATACTCCCAACTAATGAAATAACATGCTAATACAAATTATTTATTCATGTAAATTCACCTAAAATAGACCACTTAAAAAAAACACTGTCTATTGAAACTTGTTAATTTCAAATACAAAGAGCCATTAACACTTTTTAGGGCTTATTAAAGATGCATTATATAAGATTTAGATAAAGAGGTGACAATTCTCGCTATAATAGTTTAAGGGGAGGCACTGCTCGACAAATATGAATTTTAAAATAACTGGCTTCTAATAATGCTATCAACTTGAAATTTTCAGGAATTGTTCACATCGACAAAATAGGCTAATCGGCAGTTTTGGGGGAATCTGCTTTACTGGTTACCATGGAAACAAAAAAAATCATTTTTACTGCTTAAAAAAAATCGTTCTCTGAAAGTATCAAATGTAGAAGCCTGGAACTTTTTTTAAAATGTTCCTAGGACATTTCTCTGTGCAATTATCAATATGGTGTTGTTATTGTGTCCTTACATGTCATTCTATTCAACAAAACAAAAATTATGAAAAATGTTGTTTTCAATGAGAGATTTCAAATGCCAATTTACTACACTAAAAATTCATTTAGAGTACTGAAAATCCTTATTTGCATGGAACTAACATTACTTAAGTATGTGTGTAAGTTTCAGACATATCTGTTGTAAACTTTTCAAGAACGATTTTTTGTAAGGTTGTCGACTGTTGATATTTTACTTTTTGAGAAATTAAGACATAAAGAGGTAAAACAGCAAAATTTGAATTGCAAGAGTGTTCAAAAGTGCATTTTTTCTATCATAAACCACTTTATATGTATTTTCTTTAATTACAAGTGAAATAAAAATGAATGAACATCACAAATATGCAAATATAAAAAATCGATAATTTGAGTCAAAATTGACATTTGTCGACCCTTGCCTCCCCTTAAATAGATAATGAAGAGGGAAGACACCATATAAAACATCTAATTTTTTTGGGGGGGGGGGGGGCGGGGTTAGTAATAATGCAGCTTTAAAGTTTATGTCTTTATTATATACCGTTCAGGCGCTTATTTTGAAACAAGTTTAAAATCGGGGGTGGTTGGGTTAAGATAAGGTTGTGTTGCGCTCACACATACTAAAAGCCAAACCAGTTTAACTTTTCTGACCTCTTCGGTGGGAGGTTAAAGTTATCTACGTATGGGTAGCTTCATATTCTTTATTCAGTTCTCGCACGCTTTCGATAAAAATGTCACTGCATTACGCCACCATTTTCCTAGGAATTAAACTTACTGTGTACTGCGCTTGTCCAAAGCGAGCTGGAGCCGGGGTTTTTTTAAGCCAACCCATTCAGATGGCCAAGATGAACCAGTTTAAAATAAAAAACTTTCTCGAAGACAAGATCGCGGACTGTTTTTTTTAAACTGGTTTATTTGCACCACATTTGCATTCAGACGACAAATTTAAACTGGTTTAACGATCCCCAGGGCTTTTAAACACAAACAATTACACAAGACAAACAACAAACACACATATCAGATCAAGTGATATTTTTATTACACAATAATATCGCCTGCTTGGTAATAGTGTTGTTTTGACCTAGCTGCTGTCATCAGCTGATGAATTTATTGTTGAAAAGTCAGTACTTGTCAGTTTCTGTGTCATCAAATACATTATTATGGATATTGTATGCTATGTTTTTGTTATTAAGTGTGCAGGCAGTTTATCAACAACAGTTGCAAGTAACTGATATCGTTTTAGTGTAATAAAAATTAATGTTTTATTCATTATTTATGAAGTGATCAGTAAACCCTATCTTTTTTATTAGTAATACTAAAAAATGTATGTTTTATAAATTATTCATAAACTGTAAACCATGTTTTATATTTTACAAAAATGATACTAGAAAATGTACAGGATGAAATTAAAGGTGTTAAAAGGTTCGGGAGGGGGCAGGGAAGGGGGAATTGTGTGTGTGATATATTTTAAGGCCTTTAGCAAAAGTTAAAACGATTATTTCTGGGTGGTTTTTGTATTCATTGAGTGTACATGTATATGTCAAGGCTTTTTTCCCTAATAGACAATGCATGAGAACCATATAACAAACTCAGACAGAACAGATAATACACAGCACAATACAAATGTATGTGATATAATTTATGAAAAAACTTGATTTGGTATCTTCAGGTTGACGAAATATTAGATACCCTTGGATTAACAGAAGCCAAGAAAACTAGAACCATTAATTTATCTGGTGGACAGAGAAAACGACTTTCTATAGCCCTAGAGTTGGTTAATAATCCACCAATAATGTTCTTCGATGAACCTACTAGGTAAGTACATATATGTTATATGTATGTGACCTGTGACAGCAAAACGAGTCAGATGTCACAAGTCATTGTTTGCAATATTAACAAATATATCCAAATATACAAAAGATGTTATTTTTTTACACCCACATTGAAATGTGGTCATATATTGTTGTCAGTCTGTCCTTCGGACTGGCGTCCATAATTGCTTGTTGACGCTTTAGAGGCTAAAGTTCATCTCTAAGCAAGAAAACGTTTATATTTTCACTCATGCTACGCATTCGTGAAAATATAAGTTTTCTTGCTTCTCGATGAAATAAAATATGTTATTCACTCTAAAACGACAAATATCCTCTATACCCTTTGAGACTAATAGAAGTAACGTATTCCCTGCACACAATACTAAAGATAAACAAAACATCTACTGGCAATAATAAATGAATGTTAAATAAATGATTTTGAAATTGTATGATATAATTATATGTACAGATGATGTAATGATAAACCCTATAATGTATTAATACTGTATGATGTACCTGTTATTTGTTATGTAATAACTTTTGAAAAAAAAAAAAAAAAAATAAAGTTAATATCCAACAAAACATGGGTGTGAGAGAGGAAAGACAATTGACAATTTGGCATATATATAGATATATGCTTTCCGCCACATCCCCACGAAATGGGTATCGACCCAGAGGCTGAGAACCAATTCTCTAGAGACTAAAGTTAAATTTATACACAATGTTTAAGATCATTAGGCGAGGAAGCCTATTGATTTTCAACGATTTCCTAGTAATGCCCCTTGATCACTTTGAAAAATCTTAAGAATGTTCTAGAGACTTCAGTTAATATCTGATTGACTTTATATTTATACACATTGTTTAAGGCCATTAAACTAAGAGGCCTATTGATTTTCAATAATTACTGTCTGTGTTATGGCCCTTGATATCAAATGTTTTTTATACTAAAAGTTAGTATCGGGCTGAGCTAGAAGCCAAATGGGTTGTTACTTGTAATCAGATTTTAGAGTGTTGCAAATGTTTTCATTACTGACAAAAGAAAAACATATGTAACAACCCATGTTGACTGCCCGGATGGCTAAGCTCTCGTGGGCGTGGGCGTATGTTTCATTGCTTGACAGTCAATCTTTAATTAAACAAAGCAAGCTAAAATAAGAGAAGATTAGCCCAGTGCAACACTTTTCAATTATATCCTCAAACGATGACAAACATCTGACTCATTTTACTGTCCATAGGGTCACATGTATAGTATGTATGATTATTGTCAATGTTTATGAAATGAAATAAAATGAGGTTAAACGTCCTACTGTTCTGCTCCGATTGGGCTATTGAAGTTTAAGGATTAACATTTCACAGTAAATCCAACAATTTTAAGCCACCACTGCATATTATTGCAAATGATTGGTCTATTCAATGTAATAATGTTTTATCTTAGCTTTTCATTCAATATGATAGCAGTGGCAGGTGTTACAGTTAAGACTGGGTATATTTATTAAAGGAATCAACACAGCATGTTTGTGTATGATATTGTTATGTTGGGTTATACAACATCTTGATAAGTACTTCAACCTAGGGGTTGGTTTAAATACTAGATGAAAATACTGTTTCATCTTTGTAAGATATATCCTTTATATTACCTAATTTAAATGAGTACATATATATGGTACTACTTATTTACATCATATTTAACAGATACTGCTCTGGTATGATAAATGTTAAATGTTAAACAGCATGTGAATAATACTGTTATATTGAATGTATGCATATTCTCCATTAGTTTGAGTAGTTTTCTCAGAAATCTATTATTTTACAATATGTAGTAGTAGATGTTAATTATATAGTGACAGGCGCTGTAGTACATACATAAAATTATTGTGTAAAGACTGAATATTAGCAACAAATTCAATAAATTAAACCAAAATAATTGAATCATTTAAGATGGTTCCTTAAATTTGTATCTTTGGCAAAAGTTTGATTTATTGTTCAAGAATTTTCGTCATTTGTGTTAAAAATTAGATATTAAATTGGCTGAATTTCTGGGATAGGATGTTAATAAATCTATTAATCTATCATCATTCATATTATTATGTAACCTTCAACACTAATCATTATATACATCATTATCAACTTGACCCCATAAAATAAGGTCATTCCCACTTAAAGTCCTTAAGTCTAGCTGATGGCCTAAATCATACAAAATGACCTAAATCTGAAGTTATATATGAAGAGAAATTCTATATAATACTTGCTGATTTGATGATTATGTAGATAATAGAGATATCATTTATATTGATGATGGCATATTATCTACAGTAAGCAACCAAGATAGGAGTTCCATGATAAGATATTGTCTCAAGTATTAATAATCAAGATTACAGTATCATATCCTAATTTCATTAAATCGTCGTAGCAGTTTTCAATTGTCCTTGTCTCAAACATCTCAAGCCATGAAATAGGTTATGGATAGAAAATTAAAGACCCAAAGGAAAGGCAGTGCCATATTGATTAGGCTTAGCAGTCACATTTCAAATGGGCTACTACATTCTAAAAGTTTCTAGATCATGTGATAACAAAAAAGAGCCGTTTCAAATTGGCAGTAATTTGCTATACAGATGCCAGAATTTTAGAATTGGTAAATTAAGATAGTTATGAAATATGTAGTCAATGATTTCTTCAGGGAATCAACCATTATAGTCTGCAAATGACACCTCTTTTCATTACTCTTACTTTGGTCCTATTAATCTAAAACCATCCTATTATCACCAGGTAATAAACATAAAAAAAGCATGAATTTATTAAGCTGGTATATAAAATATCTCATAAACCTTGATTTTGAAGGTTTACACACTTTTAATAGTTTATGGTCAAGGTGAAATTTACTGATATACATGATGCACATGTTATAGCTAGGTTAAAAAAAACATATGGCTTCAGTAGAAGTTAAATGTTGGAAATTCTCCAAGAATTACTTTCATTATGTGAGAAATAGGAAACGGTTGTGGAGTAAATAAATGGTTTTGAAGATTGGTTAATAAACATTATTTTTCATTGTTAGTTTATCAGGTAAAATGACTTAAATCATCATTCCAAAATTAATCCTAGATTCCCACTGTCACGATTTGTGCCACGATTAAAATCGTGGAGTAATCGTTGTGATCCTATCAGGTCTTCTCATATAATGAGGTCAGTCGTGTTGATCGTATCGAAGCGTATCCGAACGTATCTGCACGTATCAGATCATGGACCCAATCGCACCGTAAAGCATCGCACGACATTGGGAACCTAACATTACTTTTTATATGCCCCCCATTGAAATGTGGTCTTATATTTTCGTCGTTCATGGCTATATTTTATTTTGGAATCTAATTGTACAGGTTGGTTGTGTGGTCTGTAATATTGCTTCAATTGACATGGTTTCAAACCCAAGCTTGTTCGTGACAAGAGTATGGTTTTCTCAGCAGGTTCATCCGGTTTCCTACCCCTACTAAACACTCGACAACCAAACAAATTATTGAAACAAAAAATGTACCATATGTTAGTCCCAAATTACCTAGTTTCTCTCAAGTGCTTATGCTGAAAATTTTTTAACAAAAATATATTTATGGATCTCAATTATAATGCAGATAAATAAAACAGAGGGTTTCTACTCTTCCTCATTCCTTAATGTTTTAAGGAATTTAGAATAGCATTGTTAAAGAAATTTGCACAGATCAGTGATAAATTTCTCAAATTAACCAGATAAACTATATGGAAGCTATTTGTATTAACTCTATAGAAAGTTTATTGATTTTCAGTCAACATTCAACGGTTGCCATGATTTTTTGGCAATTAGTTAGGTGGTAAAAATTATCTGGTAGCGCAGATCCAAATAATCAGTCTGTGTGTATACAGTACGTCATATTACTCTACAGTTTGTTTGAGTTGGCCTCACATTGAATAGTGCAAATAATCAGGTCAATACCAGATAATATAAAAAATATTATAAGTTCAAATAAACGCACAAGTATATGTGTGTACTTGTGCATAATTTATGACCGTTTTTGATGATTTATACACAATTAACAGATTAATAATTTGATAATAAGAATAGGATGGGGGAAGAGTCAAAACTATTCATATTGTGTTATTAATCAGATTATGAAGGGAAATAATGATATTTTTACAAAAGGTAATTTGAAATACATTATAGTCTTTTGGCAAGCGTAATTTCCTGGTCCGTATCGCGTATCCGTATGGATTTTGCGTGTGACGTCATCAATGTCTGTGTATTTCTTATGGAACGGCTTTCATACAGAAATGGTCTGTATAACACTGTCGTCTTTTTACCGTCTTTTTTGCTACTTTTAGACGCTGAAATGTTGCATCATAGCGTTTTTATGAATCTATGTGTATCCTAGAACACGAAGGTGTATATTTGATGTGATTTTAACAGTGATAACGACTGCAATTTAATCATTATTTTTTGTTGGTTTTTCTCATAATTTTCATATTTTTCCCACCTGTCTGCATACTGGTTGATCTACAGGCTAAACTTTCTGAAATGAAACATTAGTGAAACCAAAAATTGCTAAAATCTGCCAAAACTCTAAAACTACATTGACGCAACGTATCATGTATACGATACGGATACGGGATACCGATGGGAAAAATCTGCTTGCCAAAAGTCTCTATTATGTACGATCAAGGCTTCAAGAGATTGATAAAAGGAATCTACTATATATAAGATATCTGTTGTACCTCCTAACCATATCTATTTTTGGTTTCAAAATATTACCTCTTTTAAAATTAGCATAAAATTTATACTTATTACATTTGAAGATTAGTATTTCCTGGAGAAAAATGGGCTATTCTTAAATTAAGCAATGCAAGACATATAGATCAACCCTAGACATAGTATGCCTTGAGAATGGAATAAGTATAAATGATAAAATTTTAAGATGGCACTGTTAAATACAGCTGTAATCTAGTAGTATTCATTGATGCTAAATCCCAACAGACTGACAGGTTCATAGATCATGATTTTATTGTCTACAAATTATAACAGCACAAACTAACTTCCCATAAATCTAATCATGTGTCAGTGTTACCCTCATGTGTCATTGTTATCCTCAGGTAATGATTTTAGGGCAGAATTAATATGAACTCATATTAAGATAAAAAAAAATGCTTATATCTAATAATTATATTTGTTTCAGTGGTCTAGACAGTGCTTCATGTTTCCAGTGTGTATCTTTATTAAAGACTTTAGCCGCTGGTGGAAGAACAATTATATGTACTATACATCAACCTAGCGCTAAATTATTTGAAATGTTTGATCACGTAAGTTAAATTTAAAATAACTATGGACCTTGTAATGTATTATAAAGTCCATGAAATAACTAAAGCAACCAAATGAAAAACAGATGTCTGAAATCAATCTAGATAAATTTATATATCTTTATTTCATTTTGTCATTGTTTCTCTGATTTTCTGCTTGGTCTAACATATATTCAGAGCAGCTGTGCTTCAGCAGGTGGCTGATGTTGTGAATATGTACATAGCATTATTGTAACAGCAGCATTATCATTGGCTGTTTTCTGTATACAACTAAGAAAATGACATACTGATAAAACTTGTCAGATTGACTCAGGTAAAAAAATGAAATACATAATATAAAACAAATTGAAAAACAGCCTGATAACTTATAAGCATTAAAGTCATGTGGAGTTACAATGAAGTCAAGCTACATTAATCTTTTATTTGATAGACGAAAATGTTATTGTTGGGTTAGGGTAACAAGACATTGTGACATATAAAATGCTGATATTGGGTTACCATACATTAGCGTGGATATGTTACTTTAGGATTGCCATACATATATGGGGTTAAGGATTGAATTAGGGTTACACTCACATTGCATTTTAGTAGAAAAATTGTCATATTTGATTCATTGTACCTCAGTGTTACCTTTCAATAGATACATTGTTGATATTGGGTTATTTTTAATGTAATCATATATGGTAAATGTAAGTTGATATTAGATCATATTAAGACCCCAAAATAGAGATAAACATTGAGTTTTAACACCATACACGATTAATAGTAATTTTGAAAAAAAAACCCAACATATTGATCATTTCGAACTTTTAAGTTATGGCCATTTAAAACTTATATTGATTTCACACCACCATCTTGCTCTCTCTCTCTCTTAGACAAATATAATAATAATCATGCTATCTTTTCTTACATTCATTCTTCTTTTTATACTCAAGTCTTTGCATTAAATTAGTGAATATTTTTCACTTTTGAAATATGAGTCAACAATCTATTGTTAATTTTAAACTGTTATATCAACATTTATTTAAAATCTCATTGCATCATTTTAGTAAACTACAATATTGTAAAAGTTGAATCTCTAGTAGGAATATAGATCCAAATATGGTTCAATACTATTCGGTATTTACAAAGATATGTGCAGGAATGGAAATTTCATTGATCTGTGCTGCTTGCTATTTAAGAAGCCCACCACATTTTGTTGTCCACGAATAATCATTGGTTGGCCTATTTTAAATCCGATTTAATCCAAATATCATTACTTTAATGATTGCAGTGAAACATTGCATTAATAGACTAGTTTATTGATTATTTCATGTTGCATTTCATAATGTTTTTGTTCTTTACAGTTATATATGTTAGCAGAAGGACAGTGTATCTACCGTGGCAGTATAGCTGCTTTATTACCATATTTTGAGGCTCAAGGTTTCAAATGTCCAAATTACCACAATCCAGCTGATTATGGTAAGAGAAATAATTTCACCATTTTCTAATAAAAAAAAAGAGTTATTTCAAAATTTATGCTTTTCGTAGATCTCAGATAGTCCATTAAATGTATGAAAAATGAATTATTTTTATACACCCACATTGATGTGAACATGAGAGAGGCTACAGTTTTAACAGATTTTTTAAACTTTTGTTGTGAAGCATTGGGGTCCTGTGAGGACAAATCATTCAATGACCTATCGTTCCAGAGTTATGTCCCCTTTGACAATAAAGATCAGGTTTCCTGAAGGCAAAGTTGGCCAATATCCAAGTTTTCCTTTTGGATAAACTGCTGTTTTTAGCCATCTTTTGAGTCAGAGTTGCGGTATGGGTGTATTTTCTCGTTTTGTGTGGCTATCTGTTTTGAATGTAATAAGGGAATGTAATTTTTTCAGCAATGGAGGTCGCAGTTGGTGAATATGGTCTTGAAAAAGTCCAAAGACTTATTATGGCGGTTAAGTCAGGAAGATGTGATCCCTTTCAGGAGGAATTTAGACGTAAACATTCTTTGTCATCTAGAGCCTCATCTTGTGCATCAACGCCTTCAGAACCATCAGTATCATTAGAAGATCCTACCATGCAGGGCATACACAAAATATTTGAAGAGAAGAAGAGTTTAATGGAGTTTGAAAATGGCGGCCCTATTGTGTCTGCTAATGGTCAACTACCAGTGAAAAGTAATGGAAAATATAATGGAATGTATTGTTTCCCCATGGTACCAAAAACTGAGGTGTGTAAATTCTAACAGATTGTTACAGATTGTTAACTTTTCTATCTATATTTTGTTAAAGTTCCTACTTTTGTCAAGCAGACAGCGTGATACAGTTCAACATTCAGATCCTCAGATCCTAAATATACTTATTTCTTATTTTTAAGAAATGAAATTTTTTAAATGGAGGTTTTGGCCAAAATTGACTGACTATTGTCTGTATTTCTCTGCCAGACCCTTGATGGTGTCCGGAAAATGGCCTACAAAAATGGCCAAAATCAAAGCTCTGTATGTATAGTTGTTGAGTTTTTCTATGCATATTAATAATTCTTGTAAAGGGCCAAAAATAATTTTGATTCTTTAGAATTAATTTCTTCTTCATATGTTTATTTATATGTCTTTGTATATATATTATATCTGAGCTTGAATTGAATAGAAAATTAGTGAACAAATTCCTAACAATATTTCAGCAAACAGAATCATCTGAGGTTTGTTAATATTTGTGAATATGAATGGGGTTTATGAATTTTGTTATTAATCTTTTTTTCGTTGTTTTGCTATCTTATGGTTTATATAATTACCTTGCATGGCTTTGGAATGGCGAATCAATTAAAAATGTTTGGATTACGAAAGGGCTGTGAATTTCTAAAATAAAAATGAAGTGATATCAGGTGTTCTATGCAGTAGATATTAAACACCACAATTACTTGGTTTGGGGATTGCTTTTAAAAGAGATGGTCCACTTAATTTTACATTCTAATAATAGATAAATAATTATGACATCTACTGGAACTAAGGTTTAAAAAACTCTCCACTCAAATACCAGATTTTATTTGAGAATGTGACTAACAGTTAATTTCAGTCCATAAAAAATATTACCGAAATCACAATTTTTAAGCTTAGGGGTGTCATATTCAAAGACTACATAGTATTACATGGGTATTAACCCATCATTAAGGGTGTCACATGATTGGTGGGGGAGTAGCTGTCACTACAATCTGTCTTTTGTTAGAATAGCAACCATCTCTTTTAAATCATTGAAAAGTGTGTAGGGAAATAATTGCATGGGAAGTCGTTTATTTATTTTTTTTCAACTTTTTCTTGTCTTTTATTTAGTTTGCCACCCCATACATTGTAATGCAGTTAAGATTGGTTGAAATTATTTGATTCACCGTGTTGGTTTTAGCAAGTCAACATGCTAAGCACAGCACAATTAACAGAAATAATCTTTCACATAGTTATGCTACTAACTGGGTGCTTTCAGTATTTTTGTAACAAACTTTGATGACAACTCATCTCTGCATTGTTGGAATACATTTATGTGTACATAATGAAAATATTATACATGATTTTCACATTACTCTTGATTCAGAGTATTTTTGTCCCCCGCCTTTCGAAGAAAGCAGGGGACTATTAAAATGGGTTCGTCCGTCTGTCTGTCCGTCACACTTTTTGGGACACAATAACTCTCTTCCTAATTGAGCTAGAATGTTCAAACTTGGTGTATGTGTTTATTAGGTCAATGCCTTGATGGAGTTCGAAGATGAGCATTTTCCGCTGAGGGTAAGCAGAGATAAGCAATTTGATTGGTTGATGCTTTGGGACACGATAACTCTCTTCCTAATTGGGCTAGAATGTTCAAACTTGGTGTATGTGTTGATTAGGTCAATGCCTTGATGGAGTTCGAAGATGAGCATTTTCCGCTTAGGGTAAGCAGAGATAAGCAATTTGATTGGTTGATGCTTTGGGACACGATAACTTTTAATTGAGCTAGAATGTTCAAACTTGGTGTATGTGTTTATTAGGTCAATGCCTTGATGGAGTTCGAAGATGAGCATTTTCCGCTTAGGGTAAGCAGAGATAAGCAATTTGATTGGTTGATACTTTGGGGCACGATAACTCTCTTCCTAATTGAGCTAGAATGTTCAAACTTGGTGTATGTGTTGATTAGGTCAATGCCTTGATGGAGTTCGAAGATGAGCATTTTCCGCTTAGGGTAAGCAGAGATAAGCAATTTGATTGGTTGATGCTTTGGGACACGATAACTTTAGTTCTAATTAAGTGAGATTGATGAAACTTGGTGTATAGATTTATTATATGAATACCTTAACTAAGTTCGATAATGAACATTTTTTGCTGAGGGTAAGCAGAGTGATAAGCAATTTGATTGGTAGAAACTTTGGAACACAATAACTCTCCTTCTAATTGAGGTAGAATGTTCAAACTTGGCATAGGTGTCTATTAGGTGAATGTTTAAACTTGCTGTATATGTAGATGTTCATTAGGTGAATGTCTTGACTGAGTTCAATAATTAACATTTCGAGCTGAAGCTAAGCAGAGCTAATCGATTTCATTTGTCGATGGTTTGGGACAAGATAATCTTGATTCTATCTGATAGAGAGTGATGAAACTTAGTGAAAAAAATAAATGTGCGATTAATTAATATGTGTCATCTATTTATTTTGCAATTTCGGCGGGGGACATCAGCCTCACTGTTGGCTTGTTTATTCAAGTTTTACAATTTCTGTTATTAAAAACTCATGTGTGGTTATTTATCCGTTAAATATTAAGAAATTTAAAATAGGAAATACAAGACTGCTGTTTTGAGCAAGATACAATGAATTATATTTAATAAAGATATTTTATTTATTGTTAATATTCCATTAAAAGCCCACTTTCAGTTAATTTGTAACAAGAAAAGATTTTAAATCCCATTCATTCACTAGAAATAGTTATTACATCTTTAAAAATCGTGAATCTACGTTCAGTATTTGTTGGTACAATATAACTGTAGCCATTGTTGGTCATCGGAACCATACTCTACGAATTCCCAGCTTGTGTATTAAACACCATCCATATTCGGCTTAGCTTCCTGTAATTATAAAGTCACTTTAATGAACCCTGACATATTTAAATGAATCAACCATTATATATACAAGTACGATGTGAATATGATTAACAAATCAAACTGAAAGTGGTTCTTTAGGATAAGAAATGAGTTATATTTATGTATATTCAATTATCAATGTTTTATTTTTCAGGATTTACCATTGGATCAAGAATGTCACACGTTTAATACAAGTTGTTTTACACAGTTTCGTATTCTTTTTGTCAGGACGTTTATGTCTATAATGAGAGATGCGGTAAGTTCTTTTCTCTGCTTAATTCACGATAGATCTCTTTTAGTTATCTACAGCAGCAGGGAATGATAGTTATTTACTAGCTGGGAAAACTTGGCTCATTCAGAGAGGGAGTGATGGGAGTGAATTTTTTGAGGAATTTCTTGTGAATACATGTAATTGCTATTAGAACTTTTAAGGAACAAATGTAAATATTGATTTATAACTTTTTTGATCAATGCTAAATTTTTGTTGTTTTGTGATATTATTCATTGCCTAGCAACTTTCTGCTATGTTCAATAAGTAAAGAATATTTGCACTTGATTACTGATTAGTGTGAGGAATATATATTTTACGATATGTCCTATTTTTTGTATTTCACAGACGTTAACCAGATTGCGACTGATATCACATCTAACTGTTGGTATATTGATAGGATTACTATATTTGGGTATTGGAAATGAAGCTAGTAAAGTATTTAATAATGCTGGATGTTTGTTTTTCTGTATGTTGTTTCTCATGTTTACAGCCTTGATGCCAACCGTTCTTACATGTAAGTCTTTCAAATAAATACCAATTTTCTTTTAACTTTGAATTTAAAAGAAAAGTAAGTTCAAGAAAATCATCACACTGCAAAAATTACATTAACAGAACATACAACTATCAGTATATATATCTTTATATAAGAAATGAAGACAAGTTGTCATCACACAAGTAGTTGAAATATTAAAATTTCTTTTTTTATTTGCAGTTCCTATTGAAATGTCTGTATTTGTTCGAGAACATTTGAATTATTGGTATAGCCTGAAGGCGTATTATCTGGCAAAAACAATGGCAGACATGCCATTTCAGGTAATTCATTATTGTTACTATCCAAATAAAATATATAATGTTGCATATAGTACCATGTTCTATTTAATATAAATTGTAGCACAAATTAGAAATTTCCTCGATTGTGATTGGTCGAAAAGTGTGGTCGAATGGACAATAAACCCCCTCTAAATTATCAAGGCGAATTACTGCGTATAAATATAACAGTGTACTTTTTTTCATTTTTGTGCTCAATGATCTTCCTCAAGTCAAATCTTTATTGCAAATATCTTTAAGGAATTCTGCACACATGACTATCACACCATTTTCAAACACCATCTTTTATGAAATCACATTTCTGAAATACATAAAACAGTAGAAAATCAGTTATAAATTAATTAAAACCGTTTTCAGGTATCCATATTATTTCGTAACTAGGCAGTGACAGTGTCAGTAGGCCTATATGTTTTCTTTTTTGGTAGGCGAGCTTCACTCACCAATTTTTATTAATCAGGTGGTGGATTCTTTTTAAAAATCATGCTTTCAAAATCTGACTAGCATGATCTACCTAATAATAAGTCATTAGTCACAAGGAATTGCTTGAGAATACAATGAGGGAGTCGAATATAGAAGCTGAAATATAGGCCTAATCTATGGCCTAATCATTATCATTGCCAAAATTGTCATTTGACAACACGTCAGAACAGCTACATAGCAACCACTGGCATCTTAGACTAGACATCATTGTCATGGTTTATATGGTATTTTAGAGGATGAAAGTATGAACTTCAATTGTGTAAAGAAGAACTAGCTACAACATTGTGATAACAGTCTGCAAAATAAAATAACAAATGCTGAAAACTTACATGAAACTCCCAAAGCGAAGTCATTTTTGTTGCCAAGAGTTACTCCTCTTTTAGTCTCGGATAGCAGGGCGGAATTATTTCAATCATGTTGACACTCGTCTCGAAATACCGCAATAATACTAATTTCTTGTTCTTTTAAAAATCTTCAAACTTTAAAAATATTTTTTGTTGTCGATATCCGAATAACATTTTCTTTCATAATTCATTTACCAGTAACTCGAGACTCAAACATTTTAAATTTGCAGGTAAGCAAGAGACCGTCTATATCTATTGAAAATATTTTGAAAAATGAATGCAAGCGCGTGACCAAATAACGACTTTTTAAAATGAGTGTAAAAATGTTTCCTAAATAGTTCCGAAGAAAATCTCCAAATATTTGTGCTACAATATCGATAAACACATTCCTGTTACGTATTTAGAGGGGGTTTATTGTCCATTTAACCATGCTTGAATTATCCATTAGAACAACTCGACGCTATCGCGTCTCGTGTTCTAATGATTCAAGCATGGTTAAATGGACAATAATCCCCCTCTAAATACGTAACAGGAAGTGTTTATCTCCTAATTATTCAAGTTATTTTTTTTAATATTTCCATTTTCCACTAGTATAAATCCTCTTTAATATAATATACCTTGAAACTCAGTCATGCTTTGAACTCTATTTTCTCTCTCTCAATGAATTTATGCACAAGCTCACAAAATGGAGTAATCCATTGCATTGATGTTTTGCAGATAATATTTCCAATAGTGTATGGGAGTATAGTGTACTGGATGACATCACAACCAAATGATTTTATACGATTTGTGATGTTTTTAACGTTGGCTACACAGACATCACTAGTTGCCCAATCACTAGGGTTATTAATAGGGGCAGCAACATCACTACAGGTCAGTTACACAGTTTTCATACATTTTCACATAATTAATACTTTAACTTCTTTGAGCAATTGACATATTTAATGAACACAATAGCATCATAATATGGAACACAATTATTATTTTGATTAAAGCAACGTTTTGTTGAGGATTCCCTCATAGTTGGCAAGCAAATGAAAGTTTATATACAAAAACAAGAAACACCTGCTAATCAATAATCCAAAAGGAATTCATGGTGCTGTGCATGGCAGTTTATTATTTATAGACGAAACAATTTGTAATTTAGGCAAAATCATTTCAGTATTCTGTAATAGATAAATTATAAACTGAACTGGTTTTTTAAACTCATGAACCCTAAGGTAAACTTTGTATCAAAGCTTTTAAACTCAGTACCTTCCCTTGAACACTGAGGTAAACTTTGTACCTGAGCTGTTAAACTCAGTACCTTCCCTTAAACCTTGAGGTAAACTTTGTATCTGAGCTGTTCACCAGCGGTGGACAAGATGATATAAAGAGTAATTCTTCTAATTTCTTCTGTATGTAGCCTGTTAAATAAAAACCTGTTCATATCATTTCAGGTTGCTGTATTTTTGGGACCAGTAACAGCCATTCCTATTCTCTTGTTCAGTGGTTTCTTTGTTAATTTTGATACAATTCCCCCATACTTACAATGGCTGTCATATATGTCCTATATTCGGTAAGTAATACATTGATTTATCAAGCTAAACAGATAATAACAGTAAAAACAAGAATGACTTGCTAGAACACTGATATGTTACAACTTTGCCCTGGAGTTGAAAGGAAATACTGTTATGATGGCACATTCTAAATTAATAGAATTGCTATCAAGTGAAGCTGAATCAATTTCTGTCCCTTTCGTTAATTAATAATTTTGAGTAGAATCGTGCCACCTCAATCCCAAACATGTTTCAGCTGTGACAAATAATGGTGATATTTTCTTATTCAGTTGGCAAATGATTTATCCTCGAATATTCTTGTGTTGACTCAAATTGTCAGTGTTTGTAACACATGCTTTTTGTGGACATAACATGGCCCTCTATGCAGTCTAACTCTCATGTATTGAGTAATGTCTGTTAAAATAATAAAGAAGAGTGTCTAGTCATGGCATAGTAAAAGACATTGGCAGTCCACATCAAATATTTTCTTTCATTGCAAAAACACAGTTAAACATTTTGATAATTTTAAAAATTAAACCACACTGCACTCAAGTATTCAATTTTTGCTCATTTCTGATTTCAGATACTCATTTGAAGGAGTGTTGCAGGCTATTTATGGCTTCGATAGAGGTGCTTTAGACTGTGATGAAAAAATTTGCATTTTCAAAAAAGCTTCAGACGTTTTGAAACAAATGGATGTTGAGCATGCCGAATTTTGGATCGATTTCATTGTTTTGTGTATATTTTTTGTGATTTTGAGAATTGGATGTTATTTTGTTTTGCGATGGAAAGTCAAAGCTCAACGATAAAACAAGAATTAAAGATGTTTTGAAGCGTTAAAAGACATGGAGTTGAGTATCCATGACAACCAAGTATTATGTGAGATTAAAGAAATTCACAATAGCACAATGAAAGGATTTACATGTTAGTCCAAATGATCTGATAAATTAAAGGACTTGATTAACTTCTGTAAACAGAATTGAAATATTTTGTATATAAAATAAGTATAGGCTATTGTTTGTAAGTTTCAATCAGGTATCAACTGTAAATATTGGTGGGATTTTAACCCCAAATTTGATTTCTGAAATCTTTTGAGACATATTTTGTGTGTAAATAGAAAAATTGAACTTTACAGTCTTTCATTTAGAGAATAAAAAACATTTTATGTTTAGACTTGTAACATTATTGTCATCATTTCAAATTTTGAGAAGCATCGACTGTTTTAAAGTAAAATTACTGACACAAATATGTTCCTTGTGCAATAATGTAATCAATCGTTTATAAATGTAAAATATTTTTTAGAATCTATTTCATATTTCTGGCCAGCTTCCATTTCTCTACTTGTTGCTTCTGTGATGGGTGTCAGTTTAGAATTTTTAGCACTTTCTTCTTTCTCAAATTTTTAGGTGAAGCTTAGAAAATTTGTTAAATTCTCTTAACAACTGAACATCAATTTCTTTCTCTTTTCATTTCTTATTATTTTGACTCGAGGAAGAAAAAAGTTTTAATTTCTTAAATTGGAGGTTTTGAATTTTGGATTAATCCTCCATTTTGTTATATGTATAATTTATTGATTCTTTCAACTAATTGTTAATGTAATCAATATATGACATCATAAAGTAAAATATATTGTTATGTTTGTATGTAAATAAATAATGATTTCGTTTTTGTGAATAACTGAATTTTGTAATTTCTGCGGAATAGCATTTAAATTAAGCATTGTATTTTACCAATTGGTAACATTAGCAAAAGAATTTTTTTTTTAAAAAGTTTATCGTGTTCTCAATGTGATGTTTTTAAATTGTACACAAAATTTGGTTCTGTGGAATGATTCCTGAAAATTATTCAACAAATCATGTTTATAATTCTATTTTTGCAATGAATAATAATGTAATTAATACTGGCATTAATGTTTTATTACCAATGTTTTTTCTCCAACATTTTGGTTATGATATTTATGAATTGTGTAAAATCAAATTCATTTTAAAGAATCTGGATTTTTAGAAATTGAAGCTATCTTATCATCATTTTGATCTGTTAAAAACCGTTCTGCTCTTTGATTAACTTGTCTATATGATGTTTATTATGACTTTAGATTTCTATAGAAAAACTTGAAACCATAATCAATAATACACCAGCTCTTATTTAAATGAAAAAGGGGCCAAGGTAGTCATTTAGTATTTCTGGGGTCTAATCTGGGAGTGGGCAGAGAAGAATTTAGGGATTTTAAAAGAGGATACTTTTTATTGTTATTTTTGGTTAAAATTGCCAAGATAGGGCTAGGATATGTGTTGTTATATAGTCGTAATTGTATTTCTAATATGATAATACTAATAATGTGATCAGAGAAATAATGTATTAGCAATCAATAATGAAAATGAACGGAGAACGAGGTTAATCAAGACTAAATGGTTATAATGATGGATGTGATTGACCAAATAATAAAAAATATTTTTATTCTCAGATATTCCATCATTCTTTAAAAAGAGCTGTATGATTGGGTTTTTATTTTAAATAATAATAACTCTCATTAGTTACAGCAGGTAAATAGTGTCCCCAGGTTACAGGAATGAATGAATATGGAAATGTACTGTAGGCTTAATTATCAAATATCCAACCATGATAAATATTGACAGTCGTAAATCATACTGGATAATCAAATAATCAACGATGTGAAGAGATAAATGTGGAGCCTTGAAAGGTGATGTTTATGAAAAGTCATTTAGCGCCGTTGTGATGCTTGAAAAAATAAAAATTCAAAAACTCCCGCCTGCATCAGATTTTTTAGGAAGGATTTTCTGAGAATCAGAATGTTTGAGTTTTTGGGGTTTTTTCATGGCGTTAATGATTGAACAATAAAGAGATGATTTTTAAAAAGATGATATTTTTGTAAGGAAATGAAATGGGGTTTAATACCTACTTTTCTGCACTAATGAAGATGGATATTTGTAATGAATGTTATAAGTTTTATAGCTGAGTGATTGATGATGGAATTGTTAAAGTTGTTAGTTTAAGAATTCTTTGTCTCAAATTATGTATTAAAATACAGTACTGAGACAGTGAAATCGATGTGTAATATAAAATAAAGGAATACTTATAGGAGCAGAAGTTAAGTCGATTGTTTTTGTAAAGATTTAAATGGACAAATTGATCAAAATTTTTGTAAAAGAAAAATGGTTTAAGATAACCGTTAAAATATATATTTTATATTTGTAACATTTTTATCAGTTTGTCCTTTTAATAGGCAAAATATGAGTTACTAAATATATGACATCAAATACCTTGTGCCGTCATTATTTCTAAAAAAGTAGTACAGATTTAGTAAAATCACATATATTGCAAAAAAATATACACTTTTATTCAACTTTAATGCATAAAAACAAAAATTAGAATGACATAGATAATGGTTAGCCTTCCCAAGGCATTAATAAAAGCAATATGTAATTAGAACAAACAGTTTCCCTTATAAAAATTAAAGTAAAATTCACATATTTAACCATACTATAGAACTTTCATGTGAAATCATAACATCACAAGGTAGTTGATGTCACATTTCTTTAGTAACCCATTTATTGCTAATTCAATTTACTAATTTGTTGGAATTGTTTCATATATATATACCACAGTGTACAGTTCACTTTTTTAAATGCTATGGGGCTGATAGATAACTGTCAAGACAGATAGACTAATGTCCATAAGGCCAATTTAGTTTAATTTTTAGTTCTTATAGGGGTTGATAAATTAATAGACACTTGACTCTCATGAACAATGTTTTATGTAAAATATTAAAACTTAAAAATAAAAAGCTTTTGAGTAAGGAAATATATTTTGTTATTTTCCCCTGCAAAATAGGAAGCAAAGTTTTAATAGGTGTACAAAAATAACAGAAAATCAGATTTGAGTGGCCTGGAGAAGTGAACTGTTCACCGTGGTATAGGTTTGTTAAAGACAGTATCTAGTTTCTGTGATAATCTGAGGGCTGCATGCTCCACACTTATGGCTATTCGTACTTTATTTAAATTAAAATTTTATTGTGAGGTTTTAAACAAAAATTTTGTTGTGAATTTAAAAAGAAAATATTTAATCTACATAGTAGGTGAATGTCAACCATTTCATTTTAAAATATAAATTATTTACAATCCTGAGAAAATTTGAGAAATTAAAAATTTCGAAAGTACTTGACTTAAGTTAAAGAGATGCATACAGCCCTTGTATATATCAATTTATACTCGTAAATTTACTTTTTTCGAGTTTAATATAAGATATTTATTATTTATGTATTATATATTTTATTGTGTTTTTTTGTTTTATATTTAAGTATACATATTCATTTTAGTATGTCATCAAACAATATTTTTATGGAAATTTCCTTTTCTTTAAAAAAAGAAAAACATGAAGAAAAATTCAAACATGTAGCTAACCTTAAGTATGCATAAAACAAGTTTTTCTTATGTCTTAACAAGTTTTAAAGGTTAAACATTGTTGTTACATTAAATTGCATGGGATAAGGCTATTATGGAGGAAATTTTACAAAAATGCGTTAATAATGATTAGAGATGTAGTAAGCATTTATCATTTTTTGCTGTTAACTTAAAAGCTTGCATCATATTGTTATTTCAAACATAACAATTTTGAAGATCAAAATACTAAATAGTGCTGTGCAACAATAATTGCTTCAAACTGTCTCATGGAAAGTGCAAAATAATGAAAAAGCAATAGTAACTCTAGTTAAATTTTATCTTTAGAAAAAGTATAATACACATGTAGGGTAACATTTGAAATGATTTCTTCTATCTTGTGTATATATTATTGTTCAATTCCATTTTATGTACTTCACAAGTTGTAAAATAAAGAAAATAAAGAAAAGGATGTTTTTATTGTTTTAAATGAATATCAAAGTATTTTCAGTAAACCATTGTTTCAGTCACAAAGGTTAAATAGGTGGTAACAGGTTCAGATTAGGGTTGAGTTGGAAACCTCTAAAAACCTGTGATCAAAACAAGTTTTGTATCAAATAGGTTGTTGAGGGATGAAATGGGGTTTAACGTCCTACTCTTCTGCACCTAACCTGGGCTAATTGAAGACGGGCATACGCCATACAGTGTGCTATGAGGGAAATTTTGCCCGGGCAGCGGTGCTACGGCCTACTCTTATATCGAATTCCAACTGCCAAGGGATCTTTTACGTGCACGCCAATGTGTACACAGGACCTCAGTTTTTCGTCCCATCCGAACGACTAGGCAGCTGTCCTTGTCAGGCCCTCCGTTCTGCATCACTGACAAAAGGAAACCACGCCGGAAAATCGAGATGAACTTTCTCGGCCAATGCAGGAATCGAACACCCGACCTCCAGGCTAGCGAGCCAGCGCCTTACCCACTTAGCCACGTGATGTTTTATGACAGTGTGCTGCAGTGCATGTCTGGAAATGTGCTGATTGTACATGAAGAAAAGAGAGAGAGAGAAATGGGGTTCAACGTCCACTCGACACAAACTAGGTCATTTTGGGACTAACACATGGTTCAATTATATTTCAATAATTCGCCTGCGCGTAGGGGTCTTTAGCAGTGGGAGGAAACCTGGGGACCCAGAGAAAACCCACGAGGTTGGACAGGCGACCCTACTCCTTGTCACGTACAACCGGGGAATCGAAACTCCTCCAGTTGACTCAATGACAGACCTACATTTAGAAGGGTTGTCTGTGTAATATAAAGATATGCTATTTGTTAGTCCTGAAATGATCTTGTTTTGAGTGGATGTCAAATCGCATCTGTCCGTTTGTTGGTCACACTTTTTGGGTCACAGTAACTCTCTTTCTAATTGAGCTAGAATGTTAAAACTTGGTGTAGGTGTTTATTAGACGAATGCCTTGGCGGAGTTTAACGATGAGCATTTTCTGCTAAGGCTAAGCAGAGATAAGCAATTTGATTGGTTGAGACTTTGGAACACGATAACTTTGGTTCTAATTGGGTGAGAGTATGGATTCATTATATCAATACCTTGACTAAGGTCAACGAAAGGAGTTTTCTGCTTAGGCTAAGTTGCAATAAGCAGTTTGATAGGTCAAGACTTTGGAACATAAAAACTCTGCCTTTAATTGAGGTAGAATGTTTCAACTTGTAGTGGATGTTCACTAGGTGAATGTCTTGACTGAGTTAAAGGACAATATTGGTGTCAGTCATTATTACATATGTGATAGAACTGGTTAAATACATTCCAAATATAATTTTAACAAAAAGATCATTGCTACGGGAGATGTGTAACAAGCACGTGAAGAAATGGGAAGTGACGCCAAACATCAAAACACGAGTTATCCTTCTATATAACTGATTGAATTAACGAGCGATAACAGACAAAAGATCGAATTTCATTTCACTGATAATTCCGTTGAAGTTGAAAAGTTATTATATAGGACAGTGAGAGGGTATCTCACAATTCAAAAATAGAATTGGCTGTCACTAGATAAGGGAAAACGAGAAAAGTAGAAAAATCCTGTGCACTCCCCCATTTTTATTCATTCTGTTCTTAATAAAAACATGGTAATACACAGACTTTTTCTAATTTGTTCGTTATCTTTTATCTACTGACAGCCAATTCTATTTTTGAATTGTCAGATATCCTCTCACCGTCTCATATAATAACTTTCCATCTTCAACTGAATTATCAGTGAAATGAAATTCGATCGCATGTCTGTTATCGCTTGTTAATTCAATCAGTTATATAGAAGGATAACTCGTGTTTGTCATGTTTGGCATCACTTCCTGTGCTTGTTACACATCTCCCGTAGCATTGAGCTCTGTGTTAAAATTATATTTGGGATGTATTTAACCAGTTCTATCACATATTTCATAATGACTGACACTAATATTGTCCTTTAAGTGAGTAACATTTCGAGCTAAAACTAAGCAATTTCACTGGTTGATGCTTAAGGACAAGATGGCTTTGTAACTTATGAAGAATGATTAAACTTAGTGTAAAATTTCACTACCAGGTACTTCAAACGCTTGACTGAGTTCTATTGAGAACCTTTTCTGCTTAGACTAAGTATAGATAATCAGTTTGATTGCTCGATACTTTTCAAAAAGATAAATGTGCAATTAATTAATGTGTCTAGTTATACTGGAATTGCAGCGAGAGACATCAGCCTCTCTGTTTGCATGTTTAATTAGAGGCCATAACTCTGTACCTAATAAGGCCAAGTTGACCAAAAGATATAGGGTGTAAGTATGCAAGAATTTTAGCCTGCAGGAAATATAGAAAGGAGTGACAACATAATACATCCACATTATTAATGTGAAGTTGCAAATCTGTTCGATATTTCGTTTTACTTGTCTTTACTTCACTAGGATCTGGAAGAGCTGTTATGTAACCAACATTCTGGTTGATGTGAGGGATTAGCCAATGAAACAGTCTGTTGCAGCGAATTCTTGGCGTGCGATGCACGGAACTGTGGATATCCTACTAGAAACATCAACACTGATTGGTTAATCAAATGCCTCAAAAGCTGCTTGTATGACCCTGGACACAACCTCCACTACAACTGATCAGATGTGTATTTGAATCAGATTGTCTTTGATCATGTACAGAGCGATTCCAGGAGAATTTAGCACTTGAACCAAGCAAGACACCTGGAAAGACATTATTTTAGAAACACAAGACACATTTTAATACTGTTAACTTTCAATACACAGAGCCTTTAAAAATATTCCACATTAGCATGCACATGATAGATCCCTGGCAGTTGGAATTCGATATACGAGTAGGCCGTAGCACCGCTGTCTGGGCAAAATTTCCCTCATAGCACACTGTATGGTGCATGGCTGTCTCCATTAGCCCAGTCTTAGCAAAACAGTAGACATTAAATCCTATTTCATTTCTTTACAAATCAAGAATGTTGTTTACATTATCTCGTAGCACACTGCTCCTCTTCATTTGCCAATCTGTGCCGATAAAAAAGAGGTTATTCTTCCAATTGTAGAGCCTAGTCAAAACGTCGCTCAGTAATAAGTAGTAATTGTATTCCATAGAATTGTGACCTGTATACTTCAATTACTAAATGTCATTGAAACAATTTTACTGTAGAGATAAAAAAAATGCTTTAGCTCATTTTTCACATTTGTATTTGTTGACACTATTTTAGTTGTCATTAACTTTTCTTCTACTCTAACACAAAATAAAAGGTGATATTCAACTTGAAATATTTTATTTATTTCACTGAGCTTGTTATATTGATAATATACATAATATCTATGTAAAATATGCACAGTGGTTTCTTCTTGGACCCCAATAGAAAATATATCTTTACAGAAGTTTATAAAGGAGAAACATATAGGGATACATAGAGATACATAGACATTTAATAAACAGAGAAGTTAATTAACAGTGTTAATGTATATTAACAGATATAAGATATCTTCTGTTAATTCTATAAGATTAGACACCATTTTATGGTTGTAAAACCTTTTCCAACCAATATCAATATTTCTGAATTGTGTTAAAAATTTAACTGGCAGAAAGGATAATTCTTATATTTCTAATACAATTAGACAGAAATAAGGAAATTGAACACTATAATGGAATAAATAATCTAATTCTACTTATGTCTTTGTGATTGGGTTGTTATTTTAACATTTAACAGCAGGGTTCAAATAACAATTTAGCACTTCAGAAATTTCATAAAATACTTCAAAAATGCTGCTCAGTGTACATTTTATTTGATATATATTTTTAATTCTTATATACATCAAATCATTGGCTTGACTTACATACATTAATATATTAAACTAAGAATATAATATTTGACTTTTCCCACACAAGATTTGAAATCCAAAATATTAGATGTATGTACAATAACAATAATAACGAAAACATGGATATTAAATAGGAGAGTACAAACATATAGAATGTACACGATTTCCATTTATTTACATCTGAATTATTCTAAGAGCGCTCGAAACTGGGTTAAACCTTCTTACAAACATGATGCTTGGCATGACAACTTAACTTCAACCATCTGTGGAAGAGGAACTTTTTATCAGACAAAACTTTAAAGATGCATAATGTAAGAGCAAAATCTGCCTATTGCAACGCTTTATCCTGGCATCAAATATTATATGAATTATTATTTAAACATTTATTAACATGACAAGCTCATTATCAACTCCATATAATTTTCAAAATCTATTTTTAAACTATATTGGTAAAAACAGCCAGCTTTTCATCTAATTCTTACATAATTGCATCTCTAAATAATAACCCATTCTAAGGCCTATTTACTTGTAAGTTTTTAATTAGTAAAGCAAATTAATACTTCATCCAGAAATGTGGTGATACTGTTCTATTAAATAATTTGGTGAACTGTGATTAAATAATATATCCATTAAAGATGTAAATAACAGAATAAGTTAAACTGTGATACGATGATTTCTTTTCAAGTGAAAAACAAACCAAGCATATTCCATCTGTCAAAAATACCTCTCTTCCATAAGTCCAACTCTTGAAAATTAGAATTCAATATTGAATGTTTTCTTTGTCCTTGTTGTGTCTTTTTGTCACATGATTATTCACAAATGTAAATTCATATTTATATATACAAGCTAGGACACTATTACACGATTTCATATTTATCAACGTAGAGAAGGACTTCTTTAGAATATCTGACTGATTCACTATTTTCTATTTCTTTAACATCGGTTATCTGAAATATAAAAATAGTATAATTAATTCAAGATTTGATATAAAAAATATGCTAAGTTCTTCTTTTCTTTTGATATGTGTGGAAAGCCAGAGGATTGAAGCACTGTCTAGACAACATATGTCAGTTCTTCTACCAGGGGATATTTTATGTGCACCATCAATTTGTACAAAGAACAACTTCGTAAGGATCTGAATGACAAGAGGTGATTTCCTTGTCAGCCTCACAGAAAGAACCATCTTTAACCTGTGATGGTAAGAAATGAAAGATCCTCTAGATTCTTCTTAGTCCATGCTATGGTATAACAGTCAGCTATATTAATACTCATCATTTTAGTTGAATATATTTCATTTTAAAAGAGAAACATATTGCAATAAGAAAAGAGACTTTACAAAAGATGCATTTTGCTGGGTGTCAAAAATTGTGTTAACGATCCAGGATTTTGCGCAACCGAGACCTCCAACCACCCAAACACACATCTTTGCCAGCACAAGAAAAAAACTTAGAATTTCTGATGAACTACTAACTAGCTGAAAGTCCAGCGTATTTCTATAATTTCTGGTACATGTACTTACTTGTAGATCACAAAATGATTTCTTTGACATAAAGGAGACATTAACTGGGAAAAAGTCATCCGGATGTCCAGCTATAGTAAATTCCATACTACCAGATTTGTTACTTGTATCTATAAGAGGTAAATTCCACTGTAATGTAGCTTTACGTGAATCATATGTATAATCACCATCACAATCACCAACAACAGGTGCTCCTACACCAGTCCTATAAATACAATAATACATCATATATATCCCAAGGGAAATAACACAAATTTCATTTACATAAAAGAAGTATAAGAGCTTGGGAGATCTTCGCAGGTCGGCTATAAAAAAACGTTTTATTCTGTGTGTATACCATGGTGTATAAATAAGAATGCATGCAAAATCTAAAACTGGTCTATCCATCCATTACATAGATATAAAATTAGTACACATTATAGTCGATAGTGGTTTTCAAAAGTTCAGCTGATCATAGTGAACGATGGTTTGAATTATGTAGGTGGTAGGTTCTTGGATTTGTGGTATCATGGATTTGTTATACCCTGACAATATTACTGGTTTTTGCACATTATTGATAAGACTTTCCACTTACGGACAAGGTATAGATATTAAAACATCTTCTAATTCTAATTCATCTTGTTCCAATTCATATTCAATATTAACATCACATTTATTTCCATTCTCAGATGGCCAACAATTTACTGAAAAATACAAATAAATCATTAAAATCACATGGTCATTCAAAACTCAACTCTGCTATCTATATCAACACTTGCATAACTAAGTATTCTAAATTTTGTTTGGGAATATAATTGTCTGTTCTGTTTCAGAGCATGTCTTTTTTTCTGATTTTTGTTCAGCAGGGAGATTGATTCTACAATGTTTACACTTTATAGATGCATTATGTAAGAGCTAAATCTGTCTATTGCAGATGCTTTTCTGGCTTTTATATAAATTATTATCTCAACATTTATGCATAAGAGAAGCTCATAATCAACTCTCTAGAACATCAGATAGTTCTCAGGATAAAGTAATTTGAAATTTTTAAAATAATTATTTTCTAAAATCCATTTTTAAACTATTGTAGCGAAAGTCAGCTATTTACATAAATGTTACATAATTCATCTTTAACTACCAGCAGAAGTTCTATGGAGACCATGAAATAATTTTTTTATTTAATCATACATGTACTGTATTTTAATAATGTAAAATTGTTTATAGTTTGGATCCCAAGCTGGTTGTGATGAGGAGCAGGGTTCCCTGCACAACTTCGTGGATTTTCTCTGGGTCCCCTATCTTCTGAAGACTGCAAGCGAATTATTGAAATAAAGTTTAACATTTTAGGCCCAAAATAACCTGGTTTGTGTAGAATGATCTTAAACCCCATTTCTCTCTCTCTCGTCAGTCCAACAGGTCCTACCACAGATTTCTGATGGTACCAAGATTTGATATTCTGGTTTAAAGTCCAGTTCTCCAACTATGGAAACACTGCTTAATAGATGTTGAGAACCTGACTCAAAAATGTCATAAGTCAACCCAAATATCTATAATTTAGCCTAAGAACTTTGTAATGACTTACTAGATAAAGGCATAAAAGATGAATCTTGTGTTTGAAATCTCCACTTGAGCACACCAATATCTTGATTCAGTGGGAATGCTTTATCTGGATTCTTTAAACCAATAACAGAAGATCCTGTAAACAATCTTTTGTCTACATTGGGATGTGTTTGTAACTGAACGCCTTTTTTATCTTTATTTAAAACACCTATTTGAATACGACCAAATTTTTCATCGTTGATTTTCAGCTGAATAATACCATGTACTTCCAGATTATTAAGACCACCATCTCTACCAGCTGAGAGTGATATTTTTTCTTCAATTGATAAATGAACTCTATAAAAAAACAGAAAAGTTAATGAGCATTATGATACACTAGGATGACACAGAGGTTTTATCAAATTATACATCCCTATGAATTATTTATAGAAGTCTTCAGAAGTCTCCTTGAAGACTAAGTTCAAGATCTCATGTCACTCCTTACTATTACAGAGCTCACCATATTACAAACAACAGACCCATTGACAACATCTTTTCACACAAGTTTTAGATTTATGGCTGTAGTTAATCTAGTTTTAATTTGTTATGCAGTAGTTGATTGGTTGTTAATACATTTATTAACCAACCGTAATATGTTGTAGATTCAGTCCAGCAAGGAGAACAGTGATAAGTAACACAATAAACTAATCATACTTACGCTTCTTGATCTATTGCAGGTGTACTTGATTTTGTTACTGCATTGGGCACGGATTTATTTACACTTACAACTCCTGAAACAAAACATATCAAATGGTTGTGTAATACTGGTATCAATATTATTATCAGGAGAGAAATATTTGGAATTCTACTTTTCAAAATGAGAATGAATTGAAAAGAGTAGTAGTAGTTGTGTTATACCATGTTATTGAATTCACTGATATATAACAAGGAAATGAATATCTGACAAAATGATGTCCACAGGCATAGAGATGAAAATATCTCAGGTTACTAAAAATACCCAAGATATCACGCCCAATTCTTAATTTGTATTCTGTTAGATATAGTTTACGTGTATTCTGAACTATTCATGATTAGTTAAAATAATTTTACTTACGTTCTCCTTCTGATTCTAACTGACCAACAAAACTGTCGACATCTTTCTTTTTTGTACTGAGTTTAAGAGCTTTAGATGGACCTGATGGTTTAGTACTAGAAGCAGTATAAGATGGTTTAGATGATGGTTCAGGTATAGATGATTCTATAACTGAACTACCAGTATCATTTCTATATGAACTACTACCAAATCCACTGTTAGTAATACCTCTACCACCCTTAGCCATTTCACGTTGTTTCTGTTGTATTTCTTTGGCACGTCTTCGCATTTGATCTTTTGCCTCTTTTTCTTGGGTCTAGAATTGGAAAAGAAATTAACATGTCACACATTGCCAATATTACTCTAATTTAACCCTTTTCACCTCCTGTCCCTTCTTGTAAATATGTTAATTAATGGAGGAGCATTTTTCATACATTCTTCACTCACGCCAATAGGACACAGACAAATCTATTGTATCTGATCTGCAAAGTAGTGTCTGATAGATTTATAATATCTTGATGTTTAATGTTAACATTGTATTCCTTATCATAATGGTACTGGAAATCATTAGTTTTCTAATTTGATAATAATTGTGTTCAGAATAGAAGATATTTTGGTGAAAACTCACCTGTCTGACAGCTTGAAATACTTTCTCTTCATGAGAATCCATTTCTGTGAAGGTACGAATTTGGGCAAGATTAACATTTTCCCTATAACCCAGAGCTACAATTTCATCAAAGGCAAATATAAGCTGAAAGGATTGATCTATTATTTCAGATTCTTCCATATTTCTACAATATTCTGGTATCTGAAAAAGAAAATTTTTAAAACATTATATAATCAGAAATTTATGAGAAAAGATTAGAATAATGAATCTGTCCTTGTCTTAATTTGGGCTCTAAGGTTATTCGTTTCAAATGTGTTGCCATGCAACAAAATAATGATTTACATTTATCAAAGGTTAAACATCTGCTATTTTGTGATAAGAATGGATGAGAATGGAGATCGAGGTTCAATATCCACTTAAACCACCTGGAACATTTCAGGCCTAAGATACAATAGATCTTTAACACAATAACTTAGTTATTTGTTTTCGATGCTCTTTAGGTGGGAGTGAGAGAAGGGTCACCAAATCTTAAGATCTAAAAGGACATGGCAACTAAAAGGAAATGGCAAATTAATTAACATTTTATGGGTTTCATGCTAAGTTAGACAAAAAAGAATGCTTTTCTAAACATAACTTACAACTCTAGCAAATAGTCTAAGTGTCTCTAAATCTTCTAATATATTACTGGCTTTTGTGGTAATAAGAAGCATATAAAGTTTTTCCATTGGTTGGTACACATATCTCACACTTTCTGTTTCTACAAATGTGTGTTGTTTACCAGAATTCATCAATTTAGGAAAAGCAGCTAATAGGCCCTCTGTTCTGGATCTGGTCATTTCAACAAACTGTCTGGATACCAGGGCTAAAAAATAAATACATTCAATCTTATAATAATTACATATTGTAAGTTGATGTACCAATATTGAATACAATTCATGTATTCCACAAGATAAAATCATCTACCGGGTATTCCTCACATCCTTAGGCAACTAATGAACTATCACACAATCATACTTTTAAAACAGACATGTTCATTCAACCAAATCTTAAAATAGCTACTGTCTGAGTTGGACATAAATTATTGAGAGAAAAAAACGGTGTGCTGTGTTCATGTAACAAGTTGCTATACTTGTGCATCAAGAATTACATGGATGACAATCATTATAACATCCATATACTGTTTAACACATTCTTGTGTTTTGAAAATAGACAGGTTAAGACGTACCTTTTCCAGTCTTATTACACACTGCGGCTGCCAAAAGCACCTGTCAAAAATATATAAAAACAGAATTAGATGTAATATCAACATCAAACCATTGTACAATAAAAGTTGGAATACACTTTATACATATGCAAGATAAAAGTCATGTGCCTCAATAAAACATCCAATAATAAACATATTTTTTCCATTGTGTATGTCTCGACAATGGATAAATATGCATGTAACATGACAACATTTTTACTCTAAAATGCCAGATCATAAAAAATATTTATTCACTACAAGCTTTTTTAAACATCAGCTTTAAAGGTCTTTAAGTACAAATAAGTTGTAGACTCAGGTGTTAATTATATAACAGTGTTTTTTCCATTATCAGATCATGTTATTTTATGTTATTTTAAATCATGCAGATTTAATAGTCAATTTAAATTATGACAGATAATAAGATGGTAATAATCAAGCTACGCCAGTTGCAGTAATATTATGACAAATATCAACCATATGTCATATTAAATCTCCATTCGCTGAATCAACAGTTTTATTGACTTCAGTTCCATGTCATGCGATGATGTCATGGGAAATAGCAATAATGAAACTGAAAGTGCAAGCATAGCCCCTGCTAGCAGTCTCCTAGTTAAAGGAGCTAAATCGCTAATATTTGGGATCTACCAATTGACACAAATGGGTCGAAACATAATAATGTAATATGAATGTAAATAAACTGATTAACATTCAATCGTTTCCGTTTTTACTCTAATTTCAAGGCATTTATGTTCGACTAAATACGCCATAAGTCTCAATCAAATGGCAATCTGTAGCATCTGGTTATTCCAGTCTTACAACGATAGTATTTATTGCGCATGCTCTCCAGATAAGAGAGAGAGAGAAATGGGGTTTAACGCCCACTCGACACAAACTAGGTCATTTCGGGACTAACATATGGTTTAATTTTATTTCAATAATTCGCTTGTGCATAGGGGTCTTTAGCAGTGGGAGGAAACTGGGGGACCCGGAGAAAACCCATGAGATTGGACAGGCAACCCTACTCCTTGCCACGTACAACCGGGGATTCGAAACCACGCCAGCCGACTCAATGACAGACTTTATGATCCAGCGCGCGCACGTTAACCATTCAGCCATCCAACCCCCCTCTCCAGATAAGAATATGGGGTCACCGTTTGACATGACTTGTGGAATATGTCTAACCTTGTTCTTCGAGTGGTTTGTTACAAATTGCGCTGAAACGCATTATGGTACACAATATGTGTACCAATCGATGTAAAATGTTTATTTTGTCTTAAATATTGGATAACAGAAGCCCATCTTTTCCCGGTAAGATCACAACACCAATGTTGATTAAAATTAACAACTAATTCGTGTTTTCAATGTTGAAGGTTTTGGATGATATTGAGTTCTAGACTTAGCTACTTTAAGTCAAATTTTTTGCCATTTTGCAAACTAAAGTCATTACAAAGCATACAACTTCAAAGCGGTTTAGAAGGTTATGCTTATAAACATACATGTACAGTGACAGTCACCGTACAGTAAATCACAACAAAAAATTTAGGCCTACGGTAACAGTATAATATAATAATTCTACACCATAGATAGGTAGTGTTAAACGCAACACCTGTATATCATTGCATTTTCTACTGTCTGTGTTATTTACATAGTGAAATGAGTCATTAAACCTACGAAACAATTTCCATATCAACATGACATGATCAGTAAATTATTAAGACTAGGCTAACCACAAGGAAAGAAATGTAATTCTAAAAAAGATATTGAATTGACAGCTCTTTTCAAAAACTCTTTCTTTTTGGTATTGAATGCTATTCAACATCACACTTTCATACATTTTTACAAAACAAAAGTTAAGAAATCAAACAATTATAATAATCAAGTAGAATAATATACAGACATTGACTTGTCAACAAAAAATAAATTTGCAACTTTTTACTTCCATCCAATAATTTACCGATAACTAACAAATATTTGACGGCTATTTTTTAAGATTTACGATTGATACATAATTTTCCTACAAGTACCATATCTTACCATGATTATTTCTTTCCTTTTGCAACTAACAATGGACTGAAAATTGTTCGATTTTCATCGACACATGTACAATATTTGACTTCGTGTTGGCTTTCAAGTTTACTTCCAAGATGGATCTGGCCACGTCGGTGTACATGTATTCTTACGCGCGCACCTGCTAACTAAATGAAATATAAATATAATTTCGATATATGTTAAAATTTTAAGTATATTTAATATACTACTTTTCACAAATGCATATTGTTATATAATGTTTATTCTAGCAAAGAAATGGTAATATAATTTGGAACTATTTTGCCAGCTAAACGGAAGAACGTCACATTACCGGATATCAGCTCCGAGGATTTTGTAATTTCAGATGTGTTTTAATTCCGAAAAAGAAATAAGTATATTTCTAAATAGTTTTTATTGTTATTTTTGGAGCCTTTGCAATATATTTATGTATGAATTTGTTTCTATTAAATTATTAATATTGCCTTTTTAAAAATATAACAGGACAGAGGTAAATCATGTCAATCCGGAAGTTCAGAATTGGTGCTTATCGTGAAATCGGATTGTTTTCATGATTATTTTAAGAACCTATATATTATGAATATAAATCTGAACATAGCCCTGAGAAGTTATAGTTTATTGAGTAAAGGTAACAAAAACAGGTTGTTCAGTTTACAAAAAGAAACCATTTCACACCGGGCTGTTTCATCCCTGAAATTTGGTCGTTTCTTCATCCCACTTACTAAATAAATTACAAGGTTGTCCCATAAATTAAAAAAAAAAGAAGAGTATTATATGAATTTTTAATATTTTATTTATCAATAACAATAACAGCCCTATCAAAAAAAAAAAGGTTTGGATGAAACAGTCCTAGGTGAAACGATTTTAGAATGAAACGACCCCCCCCCCCCCCCAACACTCGTACACATTTGTTAATTGTATCAATGGAATAAATAAATTTTACTCATCAGTTGTTTTTGTTTTATCAAATAGTACATGAGCTTGTTTGACCGATCATGGCCAAGATTAGTACTTGAAGTTTTATAATAAAGTAGCCCAGTAATGAAAAGTATTGGGTAAGCTATATGTCTTTAATGTGAAACGGAATAATTTGCATTCAACAGCCGACTGGACATGCACGCAAATTTGATATTATAGTGATGTCATGTTTTGCAAAGAGCGAAAATTTACATCAGCCACCTTACTACTGTGCACGAAATATGGTACATGGTTGCTGGTTATTGATCTAAAAATAATTCCAGTCAGTAATACTATATGGACGAGTTTGGTTGTGGACGATTTAACATGTATCCGTTATGATAGATGACAATTGCCATCTATTAGGGGTTCCGTGTCAATATATTAAAGGGGCATTATGTAAGATTTAGATAAAGAGCTGGCCGTTCTCGCCATAATATTTAAAAAATGGACAATGCAAAATGAATATATTGAAAATTTCATTCAAATTACTTTATTTTGAGCAAAGTTATAAATGGTTGTAGTTTTGACAAGATGTGTGCATTGATTGTAACCACTGTACTGGTCATTCGAGTCTTAGCCTTTTTCATTTTTAAATTAAATCATTAAATGCCAAATCATTCTAATCTACTTAAAATCAGAGCCATTTGATGACATGGAGAGTTGATTATGCCCTTGTCATGTTAAGAAATGTCTAATTAATAATTTATTTAACAGTTAAGGTCCAATGAAAGACCTGCAATAGGCAGATTTAGCCTGTTTAAATGACAGAAATATGTTTTTTTTAAATTTTTTAAACTGTTTTATGAAAATATACATAAAATCCTATCCTAAAAACTTTATTTCTCAAAATATTCCAAATAGATAGATCCAAACTTACGGAATTATTGAATCTGAAATCAATATGCTCTATAACAGTCAAGTAGGTCTGTGGCACCAAGATGAATGCTTTTCGGTTGATGTGTGATGCGAAAGCAGTATTTCCCCTATTGTGTTGCCCGTACCAATTTGACTAATGATAACAGATAAAAAAACGGGCTACTTCCAGTCAAAATTTAGCAAGTTTCAGTCATGGAAATAGATAAATCCTGTTTTCTACAGGTGTAATTATTGTAGACTGTCTTATCAACTACTAAAATAATCAGAAAAATGTTATCTATCGTTTGATTGACTCCAAAATAATCCCAGTAAAGTATAATTAAATGAAACAATAATTCAAAATCGTAGATTGAATGTTGGCTATTTTTCGGGGGATGGCTGTCTGATTTCCTGCTATAATGGTCACATGACGTAAAACCCCCATACATGAATATGTACACTAAGGTCACTGAAATCCATGAGCATGTTCAACTACATATTGACAGATTTTTACAAATTTTCCCATGCATTGAAATAACACATTTGTAGACAAGATTTCTACATTGTTTATGCTCTTTGCAGACTTCTGCAGAACTGTTGAAATGATTGCAACCAAAAGTTTCTATTGGGTAGGCTTGGTACTGACTTGCGATAAAACACCATTAGATTTATTAAGTGTATTGAGTATTGTACATACAGGTGAAAAGGATTTAAATTTACTTAGATTTACTTATTTGACGAATTTCTGTGCTTCATAGACAAACAATATGGGAAAAATTTTCATTGAAATTTATTTTAAATATAAAGTTAAATCATTTAAAGATAGGTGATTAGAGTACCCAGGACTCTTTGTTTTAATTGTAAATTTTTTATTTTTACAGCACTATACAGTTACTAGCACATCAATAAATGAAAGTTGAATATTTGTTAAATGCAGGTAAGTAAGCACATAGATTAGATCACAGATTTCAAGGATATGCCATAACCATATGCAATGTTTTCCTCTAAATGTTGCTTTGGAGGCTTATATTTATTTGGTACGATGTTAAAAATAATCAAGACATGAAGTTAGCATGATGTAAATCAATACATACATGATTATCTTGCTATTTTGTATAAATATTTAATACATTGTAGCAACGAATTAAAAATATAAAGGGCATGAAAATGTCATTTAAAGGGAAAAAAACAAAATTACTTGCCATGTCTTTTTATGTTTTGGTGCTAAACAGTGTTATCTCCCTTTGATCAGAGTAGCTTATGTGAAAGTTGCAAAAATACCTACTCTAATCTTTAAACAGGATGGTGCATGGTTATTCACTAAAATAATTCTTATCTTATCAAGATGGGTTGCAGACTAATAGTGTTGCTCTTAATTGAGTTGAAAGCTCATAATTCACCCTAATTATTGATTCTTTTTACAATAATAAGCCTTGTGATTTTTTTGTCATTTTGCCGTTTTTCCTGCACCAATGAGAAGGGGAAACAAACTTCTCTGCCAACACAGGGATTGGATCCGGGACATCTTAGTTATTGTGCGACCTTGGTATCATTTTGTAGTAAATTGAATAAGATTTCCAATTATCATAGAATCAATGACAAATCTAAACTTAAAGATACATTATGGGAGATAAGATAAAGAGATGGCAGTTCTCGCTATAATAGTTAAAAACTAGATAGTGTAAAGGTAATTTGCTGAAAATTTCAGCGTGTGAAATTTTTGCATAGTCTCGGTCATCATTACTAAAATCATTAATATAAACAGCATAGTCTCGATTATCCACTTTTTCTGATTTAATTATCAGTGGCCGTTAGTGGCATATAGGAATCTAATCCAGCCAACATCGAAGGCTAGCCTTGACATCGAGAGTTTATTTTGGCCTGGATAAGTTAATTAATGTCTAATTGATAATTTAGATAACATTTCAGGCCTAAAGAAAGACTTGTTATAAGCAGATTTCGCTCTTGCATAATGCATGTTTAATGTTCTATAAATAGCTTCTCGAACAGTAAATAAAAGGATATGCCCAACAACATTTTTATACGCCCACATTGAAATGGGGTCGTATATTGTCGTCGCCCCCGTCCGGCCGGCGTCCACAATTGCTTGTGGACACTCTAGAGGCTAAAGTTAATATCTGATTGACTTTAAATTTATACAGTGTTTAAGGTCATGAGACGAAGAAGCCTATTGATTTTCAGCGATTTCCGATAATTACTGCCAGAGTTATGGCCCTTGATCACTTTAAAAAATCTTGTGGACACTCTAGAGGCTAAAGTTAATAACTGATTGAGTTTGGGGGGGTTGGATGGCTGAATGGTTAGCGTGCGCGCGCTGTATCATAAAGTCTGTCATTGAGTCGACTGGCGTGGTTTCGAATCCCCGGTTGTACGTGGCAAGGAGTAGGGTCGCCTGTCCAACCTCGTGGGTTTTCTCCGGGGCCTCCGGTTTCCTCCCACTGCTAAAGACTCCAGCGCGCAAGCGAATTATGTAAATAAAATTAAACCATATGTTAGTCCCGAAATGACCTAGTTTGTGTCGAGTGGACGTTAAACCCCATTTCTCTCTCTCTCTCTCTGATTGAGTTTAAATTTATACACAGTGTTTAAAGTCATGAGATGAAGAAGTCTATTCATTTTCAGCGATTTTTGAAAATTACTGCCAGAGTTATGTCCCTTGATCACTTCAAAAAAATCTTGTAAATGCTCTAGAGACTAAAGTTAATATCCGATTGACTTTAAATTGATACAAAGTGTTTGAGGTCATGAAGTGAAGAATCATATTGATTTCCGATAATTATTGCCAGAGTTATGGTCCTTGATCACTTTGAAAAATCTTGTGACGCTCTAGAGGCTAAAGTTATCATCCGATTGACTTCAGATTGATACACAGAGTTTAAGGTCTTGAGATTTTCAATGAATTTTTATGACTTGAACAGCTAAATCCATGATGTTAAAAGTTTCGTATACTAAACGTTAGCATGGGGCAGAACTTTATAAAAACCAAACAAATTCTAATGGTTTTCTGATAATTACTTAATGAGTTGTTACTCTTAATCAGATTTTAATGTGTTATAAATGTTTCATTACCGAAAAAAGTAAAAATATGCTACAACTCTTGTTGACTGCCCGGACGATTTAGCTGCTGTGGGCGTATGTTTCGTTGCCTGGCAACATATCTTTCGATAACACATACATGTTTTACAGGATTAATTGATCTGCTAGAATTTAAAATTTAACTAAGAACAAAAATAATTTGCTAATTCCGTTGACCAGATGTTTTTCTTGATATTAATTATAAGCCTTGTCGTGCTTGTCGAATCATTTGTTCCCCATTCATAATCAAATTACACTTCAAATTTGGACATGCATGCATGCACATATCGTACCTTATTCTTCAGTCAACTGTAAACAATATACATTTATTTCTGGAAACAAGAGACTAATAATTTTATTTAGTTCTGGAAACAAGAGACTAACATGTTTCACCAAAAGGATGTTTTGTTCTGAAAGGTACTAAGTCTAGTTGAAGCAATTGTTCTTCTAATAGAGTGCATTGTATTGTTTTTGGTTTGTTAAGATATATCTTGGCACTATTCCAGGAAATAGAACTAATTAGTAAAGGTTATTGACAAAAACATTGTATTTTAACACACCCATGTTCATCATAGGTCTCATTATTATTGCACTTTAGGATAAGATAAAATAACTGTCTTCATCTCATTTTGTTTGTAGACAATTATAAATTATTTTTATATCCAATTTTTATAAAAAAAAAATCTAGAAACTAGATATTTAAAATTTTACTTGTGTCATCTGAATTAAAATTTTGTTATAAAATCTAATATCTCTTTATATTACACTATGTTCCTATTCGGTCAAATACACCAGTTTTAATTAATTGTGAATGCAAACAGTACAAAAAATTCCTATACCATTTTGAAATATTCCTGTTTTTCTTTAGTGGTTTGTCTCCCTTATTACGAGTTTGTTTTCTTTTTGAGCGAAGTCTGTATCATGCCAGACATGAGACTGTACGACTGATCCCCAAATCGTCGTGTACACATTGGCGTGCGCATAAAAGATCCCTTGGCATTTGGAATTTGATATAAGAGGAGGCCTTGGTACCACTGTCTGGACAAAATTTCCCTCATAGCACACTGTATGTCGAATGCCTGTCTTCATTATCCCAGTAGGAGTAGGACGTAACCCTATTTGATTTCATTTCTGTTGCTTGCAATGTCTGTGTATACATTAATTGTGTGTCTTGTCTGTTGTTTTGTCTCATAGTTTTCGATAATATGTGGTGTGGTCCTCCTGCACTTACTATTGAGATAGTTCTCCAGAAAGGGTATATGACCACCAAAGCATGTCTAGAAGTAGAACAATATTTCATCATTTCTCTAATTTTATTTGGTATTTTGTGGAAACATCTATAGGAATATTATCTCTCAGTTGATAATGGACTAACTTGATCATTTTGTGACACACCATTACTGATATTATATTTATGTAAGCTATGGCTCTTAATTAGCAACCGAAGGCATGATTTGAACCAAATTTGGATGGTAAAATCAACCACTGAGCGAAAACTGTAATAATAATAATATAATAATAATGAAGTTTTATATAGCGTCTTCTCCATGTTGACACATGCTCAAAACGCTTTTTGTAATGGTTCTACTGGTAAAACTGTTGAAACAGGAAAGTCTTTAGTGCGGATTTAAATTGATTAAAAGTTTGTTGATTCTTGATCTGTGGTTATAATATGGTTATATGAATATTAAGAAATAATACTGGTTAGGAGAAAGGACTGTAGATAGTTTGGGTGTTGGCTGTCCAAATGGTCTAACACATGCGCTTTAGATCACAAGATCTGTCATTGAGTTAAATCGCCTTGTTTCAATCCCACACTTGTACATGACAAATTAAGATCACCTGTGTACCATATGTTAGTCTTGAAATGACCTAGTTTGTGTTGAGTGGATGCTCTCTCTCTCTTCTCTCTCTCTTATGAACTGAAAAAAAGTCATTTTTTTATGTATATATTAGAGAGGTTTTAGCTTGTTGAAAATAGCAACAGCAGTAATTGAAGAGGAAAGTAAGTAGCCTCAAAAATTTGGATACATTACACTTTTTTTTTAACACCTACCTAGGCTATGTGTACTTTGATCGAACATAGTCAGTGGTAGTTTATCACTTTTTGACAGACAGCAACTGCATTTGACATTTAGTTGGAGTAGATGTGAAAATAATTAACTTTGAATTCTCACACATTTGTCGAGACATTACAAAGACTATTCACATATAAACTTACTGTTACCCATTTAGATGCTGCCAAAAAATTAAGTTGTTAAAGAAGCAGAAGGCCAATAAACCTTGTCGTTATTTAAATTATAATGAAATAACTGCAAAAATTATTAATATTGTGATAGTAACTTAGGTTTCATAAACATTACAGCAAGTAAAAGAATTTTTCAGATTATTGCATTGTTTTACAAACAGTTTTGAACAGGTCACTCACTGAATAATTGAGGTGAGCACTCTATAAGTGTTACATATCCCTTATAAGCTGGTGAACCTTTAATTTTTAGAGCCTTACTTGAGGTGGGCACTCTATAAGTGTTACCTCTTATAAGCTTTAACTTGAATTTTATTCTAGGTTGTTGTACCTTTAAGTTTAGAATACTTAAAAAATGAGAGGTTGTCAGTTAAAATAGAATCCAAGTAATGTATGATTGTTGATTTTATTTTGTGTGTTCTCAAGATAATTTATTACCTATGTATAGATATGAAAACATGATAAACTCTTCTATATTGAACATTTACAGATGGTAGAGATAAAAGTTTTTGTTATAAAATAAAACAAGTTAAATCGAAAGTGATGTAATAAACAAACAGAATCAAATTGAGAAATTGTGTAATTTTTGTCTCGCTGTTCGTTATGCTTATAGGAATTATGTTAAGATGTCTAAGACTTATTATAGGAATATTCTAAATAATAACACATTGGTTCTTTTGAAGAAAGTAGGAGACTATTTAAATACTTTCATCTATCTGTCTGTCTTACCATTTTAAACACTATCTCTCTGCTTCTAATTGAGGTAAAATGTTCAAACTTGGTGTACCAGTAGATGTTTGTTATATAATGTCTTAATTGAGTTTGACGATCAGAATTATAGCATAGTTTCATTACATCAATACCTTGGACTATGTGCGATTATGAGCATTTTCTGCTCACGTTAAGCAGACTGATAAGTAGTTTAATGGTTCAATAAATAAATAGTTAATAAGTGGCATCTTTATTTTGAGATTAAGTTAAGGAACATCAACCTCACTGTTTTTTACTGAAATGTTCTAAATGCAATGATGAATAATTTATAACCAGAGAAATTTTGAAATATATACATGTAGTCTCTACTGTCTGATCAACATTACTATGATTTGTTAGCTCTAGAGATATGGTTTGGAATGGATATACAGGATGATCAAGTCTAAAAATAATTTGTTTCTATCAATTTCTATGATACTTTCATCATTAAAGAGAAATTATCACTTTCTACAACAAAATAAATGTAACTATTTTTGTCTAATATTGTAATCAAACTAAGAATAGACTCGTTTAGTCTTCGGAAATCCAAGCACCTGTCTAATGTCTGTGTAATTTGTGTGTCTTGTCTCATTGCTTTGTTTGTGTGTGGAGTGGTCCTCCTGCACTTATTAATTTAAAGAATTTGAACTCTGTGAAAATCATTACAGGCTATATTAATCTTCAGGCACCAGTATCTCAGCTAGCATTGGCTGAAATATTGCTTGCAATCTAGTTTGAAGATGTATCTGCTGCTTAGTCAAGTCACGATAATTGAAAAAAGATTACCGATTGACAGACATCTTTTAAGTGCTTATGCCTCTAACTTCTGTATGTTTGAACATTGATGGTTCTAAACAGTTTAATTCTGAATGAGTCAAGAATACTTAAACAATAATTATCTAACAGTTTAATTGGCTTTTGGCAAAAATCTCTAACGATTGAAAATTTATTGAACAATCTGGTGTAACAAATTGGAAAGCAAATGTTTTTTTTTATTTGAGCACTTATCAAATGGCAGCATTCACAAGCAAAAAAATAGAATCCGGTCTCTTTACTTTTTGTTATCGCCCATCTTCCTTTTGGAAAACAAATCATAGCAGAAATGCTTCAGAAGCTGTCTTTTATGAACAATTACTACAGATTTAGCCAGGGTTCTAAAATAAGATTGTTTTTATCACGCTGACCATATCTTAGTATGACTAATGCCAAGTGCAATCTTGACGATCCCGTGTTTTGATGCTATTTCTTCCTGATACTCCTCTTATTGTTTACATCTTTCATAAATGTTAAATGTTCACGACTAGTATAGATGAAATACACAGAGAAAAAAACTATAGATAAGTGATGTGTAAGGTTTGTTGTGGTCTACAACACGTGTGGAGTGAGAGACCAGAGTTGGTAGTTTCGACGTCTGTTATCTATTTGCGAGCTATTTATAATCCAGTGAGAGTAGATTCCCAGGCCGGCCAGCTCTTATTGCCCATCTATGATATTGTTCCTTTGCCATCCTTTACACATTTCTCAGGTAATAGATAACAGTGGAGTATTATTGGTAAACTTATTGCGTATTGGGATAAAAGAAAATAGCTATAATGTGGGTAACTAGGTATGTTTTTTTTGTTTATTTTACACGACTGTACGTCGTAATATCACAGCTTCTGGCTATACATACACATATTAGTATTGTACTGTTTATAGAGGTGGTTATTACTTTTTTCAGTGAAATTCATAAACCAGATGATAGTCGTGAGAATAATTTTGAATCATTTATTTTGTTCTAAAAATATTTATTATTATTTAATACCTCTTTAACGACTATTCCTAAAATATAATATTTAAAGCTATTTTTAAACCATTATTTTTAAAGACCAAGGTTAATATAGATCTTTATCAAATTTTGTATTGTGTACTGTTTAAAAAGAAATTGTAAACTGGTGAAAGATAATTGTAGTTTTAAGAGGGATTTAAGAGAGTTTTGATTGTAGATGCTGGTCTATGTACTGTACAACTTTCCATTTGCATGTTAGGTTTTTGTAACCATGGAATTGGTATAATTGTATTTTAAAACAAATGCCACTATTTATCATACATGTTAATTGATTTCATGCACCAATTGTACTAACATTTAACAATTAGACAAAGTTTCTGTTATCTGAATCATGTCGATTCTGACATTAGATATAGACACACAGTAGTATCTATACTTTCAATTAATCCTGATCATATATAAAATTACAGGCATCAGTTCTGCTACTATCTTAGTACATACTATAATATACTTATTTATCACCTGCTTATCTTGTTTGTTACATACTTGTGGTAGGTAGGAAAGTCTTGGCTTCGCCTCATTGACTTCTGCCATCTTGAAATCCTGGTAAATGATTCAAAGGTTGCGTAGATCTAGTTGTAAAGGAGATGTTAGCACCTAATATTCTTTGTAATATCTATTACTCATCATAATATGTTTTTGGTTTTTTTTATCCACGGTAGATTAGTACTTTGTGATCTGTTTATTTAGTGAACTGTATTGCTCTGTCTATCTTCCACCATTTCATTTCACTTCTTTGAAATTCAGTTTTAATTTTATTTTATTTAATATTTTCAGTCGGATTTAGCTTTAATTTAATGATATTCTGTCAAATACAGTTTATGCGATATTAATGATATTTAATATTTTCAGTTGGATTTTATTTGATTATGGTATTTGTTTTATTTAAAAAAGATGGTTCATCTATTTCTGAATGTACAATACAACACAGATAGTTTTTATGTTTCCTTTTATATGATTCACAAAGAATTAACTACAAGAGAAAATGTTACCAGAAGTGACAAATATCCTGACCTGTTTCACAAAGGGTAAAGACCTTTACATCAATTAGGTTATATAATGAACACAAATTCATGAATGCACTATAGTGCAGATACTGTTATTTATGAATGGGTGAATAAATTAACTCCAATTTAATTCAAAAGCTTGACATTCAAGAATCTATAGCAAGCCTTGAAATAAGGCAGCAGTCACAGACAATGTCAGGCACAAATCAGACTTTGTTAGACACGATCTATATTTTGCCTGTCATTAGATGAGGCAAAGTTTTCAGCCATTTTATTAATGTTTTTAATACATGTTAATTGTGAATACAAAGTTAAAAATCTTAGGTACTAGTTTATATAAAGCTTGACATTACTAAAACCATTTTTTCCCTGCCTGCATATTAGATATTCAGATGAATTTCTCTAAACTCAATAACCTGGCATTTCATCTGAGATATGCCTTTCATGTACTTCAACCAAAATAATCTGCTTAACTCAATTACCTGTCTTAAATGATTACTAATTATCAGGAAGTTTTGCCAATAATATAGGACCAGTGGATTGATTTTACTGTGGAAGCATAATTTATGTTTAGTAGTCATATCTGTGATTCATATATATCTATCATATTTTAAAGAAGTCAACTGTAGAATCACTTTTTGTTTATTTGTTGTTCAAAAGATAGTAATATTCTAATGATGAACAAAAACATTCAATCTTCTTGTTTAACTAAATAATTAATGGATATCCTTAATTATTGACCAATACCCAATGTTGTTGTTGTTGTTGTTGTTAGGAATTATCATTGAAGAGTTGACCATCTTAGGCCATGTTTGATAAAAACAAATTTCTATCTTGCTATTCCGATTTGAAATCTATCAAATATGACTGAAGTCATATTCTAAATTGACTTTATTGTGCGTGTGTTTTCAAACAATGCAAGAGAGAGGAAATCACTTTTAAAAAATTGGCGATTTTTCTTTGTAATGCCCGGACTACAATATTAACATGAGCTCCTCCATGAATTACCTGTTTAATTTTCAAGATCTGAATATTCCAGAAAGTTTACGCTATAAATTGTGGGTAAGATTGAAATATGATATTTCGTGTAAGTCTTAACATTTTTTATACCACGGCTCAGTAATAAAAATGTTCATATATCATCACATGTTGAATTTTTTATCCAACAGCTTTCCTATGTTTTTATTGATTGTGCTGATATGTTGCTCATTTGTCTTTTAAATGCATGTACAAGCAGACAGGTTTAGGTACAGGCATTTTGTTACACCTTAACGCCTACCATTTGTAAAATACAGCATAGGCTTGCAGGAATTCTATATTTTGATATCTAACTGATGACATAAGTATGTACTACAAGACATGCCATATCTTTGGATATCACGATTGAATAACATTTAAAAATATGTAATGTTAAGCCGTAAATGAATGGCATTTAGATCAAAAATTCCAAATATAAGGCAGGAATTATCAAATGGTTTTGTTTTCAAAAGGAAGTTTTTTTTTGGACCATAAATTCTCTTTTCATATAAAAAAATAAGAATATGAATTAAGCATTTATAGTAAACCTTTGATTATATTTTAATATTTAACAGATGGCTTCATGTCTATTATTAGAAAAGAAATTTGGAACTTTTTTTTGAAAAGGTCAACCACCACAAAAAGTTTACATTTGAGATTTGGTGTAGGTATTGAGCATTTCAATTGGCCTTCTTGATCTGATGAAAAGTGGCTCATCTCTACCATCTCATTCATGGGGGATCACGTGGCTAAGTGGGTAAGACGCTGGCTCGCTAGCCTGGACGTCGGGTGTTCGATCCCTGCATTGGCGGAGAAAGTTCATCCAGATTTTCCGGCGTGGTTTCCCCTTGTCAGTGATGCAGGACGGAGGGCCTGACAAGGACAGCTGTCTAGTCATTCGGATGAGACGAGGTCCCGTGTATACATTGGAATGCACGTAAAAGATCCCTTGGCAGTTGGAATTCGATTTTAGAGTAGGCGATAGTGCCGCTGCCCAGGCAAAATTTCCCTCATAGCACACTGTATGGCGTATGCTCGTCTTCATTAGCCCAGGTTAGGAGCAAAACAGTAGGACGTTAAACCCCATTTCATTTAATCTCATTCATTCTTTGGAAAGTCAGTTTTCAAAATCAGGTTTTGGTTAGGGTTTGCGTAATAATATTCAAATTTATAAATAAAACATACAATTCGACTACCTGTAGATATGAAACGCTATTGTGCATGTAATTACTATATAGCCTGATAGAGCAGACGTAATGATCTCTACTTGTTGTAATATTTCATACAAGCAGACATATTGATTTATATAACCTGTTATTAACCTGTACATATTAAAACAGAAAACATATTAATTAACAGTCACAATACCATTTGATAATATTTTATATTTAGGCCACATCAATTTGAATTTTTTTTCTTTTTTTATTATAAAAGCTTTTAGTTCCTGATATTGAAATTTGAACAAAACATCGTACACAAGAATTGAGTGGGTTATTTCTTGATCAACACCCAGAAGAACTAAAAATATAATTGACCTCAGTGTTTCTAAAAATTGGAGTAAAACAGACTGTGATGTGAATTTAATTTTGTTAGATTTACTTTATGTGTAGTCAAAAATATTAGGTCATCTGATCAGTTTTTGTGACCAGTGTCGATCATTTATTTAGACACAAATCAAACTAGACAAGATTATCCAGTGTTAAAGTGATCAAAGCAAGACAGAAAGATCACGAAGATCTGACATTGATAAGGTTTTGATGATCTTACTGATTATGGTAATTCCATGTAAGGTTTTAGGGACAGCATGACATGTACAGAGGTCGAAATGCCATAGACTTGGGTTTAGTTTGTGCTTAACTTCACACGGTATATATTGATGTTTCTGCTCTACATGCCATTCCTCAGACCATTATGGTCTATATTTATTTTGCTTCTATTCAATTATCTATAGCCAATTTATTTGTACTGGTATATGCAGTGGTATATATGTTTTGTTGGGAATATTTATATTTCAGATCCTCTGGACAATTCTTTTAGAAGACAAATGAACATTAGTGATTAATAATCAAGATCATTATATCAATTTGTTATATGTCCACGTTGCTTTTTGACACACTAGAGGCTAAAGTTATCCTCCAATTGATTTGAAATTTGTACACAGTGTTTATTTTCACGAGACCAAGAAACCTGTAATTTTCAGAGTTATGGCCCTTGATTAAGGAGAGTCTAATGTTTTCAGTTGATTTCTGATGATTACCATCAGAGGTATGGTTCTTGAGCAAATTGAAAAATCTTGTGGACCCTTTATTGGTTATAGTTTTAATCTGATTTATTTGAAATTATTACACAGTGTTGATGTTCATGATTTCCAATAACTAAGGTCTTCATCTGATTATTGGTTTGTATTAAAACAATGTTAGCACTAGGAAGAACTATTAGCTAAACAATATTTAATTTCTTATTAATTCATGGGTTGTTACTCTTGCTCAGTTTTTAGTATGTTATAAATGCTCCCATTACCTATAAAAGAATATATGCGACAGCCTTTGTGAACTACTTGGATGACTCTTCTGCTGTGTGTGTATTTTTTGTAGCTTGGCAACCTATCTTCCTGATGGATTTTGAATAGTTTGACATCACATTCACATATATTTTAGGAAATAAGTTAATATTCACTGTTAATTGACATACATGTGTGTGGACAATTTGAAATGTAACAGAATTGTTAGGAGACCTTGGTTTGGGTTGATTTCT